CTCTTGCGAAGCTTTGCACGCCAAACCATCACAGAAAGCGTCATCGACTTTGGTGACCTCTGAACCAGGCATGACACGACGAGCTGGCCACAACTCTTGCCCCTCGTCGTCCTCTTTCCTACGATGTTCCATCACGAGCTGTCTCACCGTATTTTGGAAGAAGATTGGCGCGCTCTCTAGATCTGGGTGTAGCTCTCCATTGATAAAGACGCCCGCATCCAAGTTTTTCTGGACTTCATCGCACAAGTACTTGTCTTCCCCAAGGACTCGTTTAAAGAAAGAGTCAATATGCTCAAACTCCTCATCTGTGGCATCTTTATGACGATAGACCTCATACTCCATGGAACATGTATTGACTGATGTGGGGACGCATCGCATCATATAAAAGAAGTGAGGCCTGTTACCATATAAGGGCGTTAGAGACTGAATTCTCGCGGTGTGAGAATCTTGCACTTACGAGACGGTCATGCAGGCATTCGGGAAGTAATAGGTGCTAACGTTCTTGATATCATCTCCCTCTTTTCCCCTTTTCGGCCGCGAAAAGTGTTGAATGTAGCCGGGTTTCGAGACTGTATAGTAGAATGTCAAATCCGCCAGTTTCCTGACGTCCGGATGTGCGACTTGACAATGGTAACATTCATTGTAATTGTCGGCAAGCGTTTTCCAATTGTAGTTGCCTTTCATGGCCCAGACGTGATCGAAGTGATATTGCGAAAAGTCGAACGCGTGGAATCGTTCCTGTGTGTCGACGCCGTCAAAGTCGTTTTCCCATGCTATTTCAGGTTTTGGGGACGCATCCAAATTGACCCAGATGAAGCCCAATGCATCCACATGCACATGAATTCGGAAAAGACTGTGGTCTGCTTTGTTAAAGGTCGGCACAGCATCGAAGCAAGGTGCCTTGGCGAGCTGGCCATTTAAACCATACGACCAACCATGGTATTTACACGAAAATATCCTAGCGTTTCCCGCATCCTCTGTGACTACAGGGAAAGCCCTGTGTCGACAGATGTTATGGAAACCGTTTATAGTCTCGCCATCTTTGTCCATGCATAATACAAAAGCATATCCGGCCTGTTCGAAGCGTAAATAGTCCCCCGGCTTGGGAAAGCGAAGTTTGTGTGTGACGAGCAGCCACCGCTTAGAGAAGATAGCTCGTCGTTCCAGCTGATACATCTCATCCTTCCGGTACCATGCTGCTGGGAGCGCTCGGGGTTCCTCAGATCTGATCAGTGGACTTGCATTTTTACTTTTTGCTGAGATTGCGAATATTGAACCAAGTGTCGACAACATGATGTACTCGGATGATGAAAGATTCAGTTAGCTTCCAGATACAATAACAAGAGACTAAGCAAAGAACTATATGTCCGAGACGACAAGCTCCTGCAATACAACTAAGAAGATCAATTCAATGTAGACAATATACAGAAGGGTGAACTCTGTTCTGCCATTTTAACCTTCTAAAGTCCAACAACTTGCGCGCGAGGTAATTGTTGGGTGACTCCCCGGGGTTTACACGGTCCAGCCTCCCCGTAACCGCCTCCAAACGGCTCTGCTAACCCGATTTCTCTCCTCAATATTTTAGACCTTCGCAACGGCCAATCATCCCCGGTCTGAATGACAGCAAATAGTAAAGGAATCCGGCACTTCTGCCCTTTCGCAACCGATACCGTCATCGGTCACGAACATAAGGCCCGGTCGGAGGCCCCCCGAGTGCGCCGGTCACGTGTGTTGAATCGCCGCTTGAGGCCTGTGTCCCCTAAGCCGACTTCTCCTATGAGCCGTATCTAGATAATCAGACGCTTTCTGATTCGCAGATTGGGTATGTGGGGTTCCCTCCATTTACTGGACATCCACGCAGATCCAATCAATGGCCAAACGTGCTACGCATCTCCCCGGCCATGGGACATAGGTTCGCAAAGGTCCCACGCTCGCGGGGAATGGGGTGGCGGCCCTGACTCCGTTCCTTGTGGAGTTGCCCATCGTCAACTTGGTTAGGTTTGAAAAAATGGGAAAGGGAACTTGAAAAAGGAGTCCAGCCCCAAGTTCAGCCGGAAGCTTTCACACTCAAAGTTTTTAAGCACAAGACTTATTTCTTTCTTTGTTATCCTAGATCACGTGTAAGTATGACAGATAATGGTACCTCGGAGCGTTCTGCCAATATGAACCGGCCATCGGAGAAGTATTCAGACCGAGAACAGTATGCCGGGCAACAACACGGTGGGGATCGTCTTGAGTCTTCGAGTATCGACACGGGGACAATGGAAGATCAAATATTCTCCATGTATGAGATCGACCCAGTTCTCGATGCGAAGATGCGGCTCGTTAACAAGGTCTGACGAGTTCCGACCCATGCATGTAAGTGGGTGTAGACTGACGACGTTGTGCGCAGACGATGGATGAAATTGGATGGACCAACATGCACCTAAAGCTATTCTTCTTGAACGGGTTTGGATATGCTGCGGACTCTCTCATTCTCGCCCTTCAGGCTGTAACTGCCAGCCAAGCTGCTCTCGAGTTTCAACCTTCATTCGCATACGGTCTCAATGTGGCTGTGTACACCGGCATGTTGCTCGGAGTGTTGTTCTGGGGATTAGGTAGCACAGGCCCTACTCATACATGCCATAGCGAGGCTTTTACTGAATCCTTTTTCCTCCTCAGGTGCGGACGTCATTGGTCGCCTTTTTGCTTTCAATGTCTCCCTCTTCTCCTCCTCAATTTTTGCCATCGTTGCTGGGGCATCACCCAACTGGATCGTGCTTGCCACTTTTGTTGGTCTCGCCGCGTAAGTCGTTTGCTCTCCTCAACGACCCCCTTGATGGCATGTCCTTGCAGCCTTGGCTGAAACCTAACTGGGTTTTCATAGATTCGGTGCTGGGGGAAACCTTGTACTTGACACTACTGTCTTCCTTGAATTTCTTCCCGGCAATAAACAGTGGCTGATCACGCTGATGGCATGTTGGTGGGGCCTGGCTTATGTGATTGTTGCTGCTTTCTGCTGGCCAATATTTTCGAATTCAGAATATGCTTGCGCGGATGCTGCCACTTGCACTAAAGATAACAATATGGTAAATGATGTGAATATTCTGTAACTACTGTTTCGAAACTAAACTGAATGCAAGGGATGGCGTTACATATGGTATGGTAATGGAGCTCTCGTGTTCGTGTGCAGCATTTTACGAGTTACGGTAATCCGACTGAGGGAGACACCCAAGTACCTGCTCACCAAAGGCGAAGACGCCGCGGTCGTCATGATCTTTCAGGACATCGCGAAAAAGTATAATCGACCGTGCAGTCTGAGTCTCGAGGCATTAGAGTCTCTTGGAACCATTCATTCCACCTATGGTAAATCTAGGTACGGCCTCGGTGAGTTCTGGGCGCATATCTCCGGATTATTTGTAACCAGAAAGCTGGCGATCTCGACCCTCATGATTTGGTTATCATGGCTCCTAATTGGTAAGAATGCATTCTCCATGCGCTGAACACAAATTCACTTCTAAACCGACGTCTCTAGGACTGGCATATCCGCTCTTCTATGTCTTCCTTCCTGATTATCTCGCCACACGCGGCGCTCAAACTGGAGAGTCAGGGCCTTATTATCAGTGGAGAAATTACATGCTCAGTAGCGTCGCTGGGATTTTCGGACCTGTCGCTGCTGGATTTATGTGTAATGTCAAGCTGCTTGGGCGCAAGTACACAATGGCAATCGGTGCTCTCATCACCATGGCCTTCTTTTTCGCCTATACCGCTGTACGGACTCCAGCTCAAAATGTCGGTTTGAGCTGTGCGATTTCTTTCTCTTTGAACATCTACTACGGCACTCGTAAGTCGTTCTAGGTCTTTCAAGCCTCGCGGGCATAAATAGTGTACACCCCTACTCGCAGCTGATCTCTATAGTTTACGCATATACTCCAGAGGTTCGTGCAGGCACTGTGAAGTCTCATAAACAGCGACTAACGATGTAACAGACTCTACCATCAGCCCATCGTGCGACAGGTAACGGAATAGCTGTGGCATGCAACCGAGTCATGGGACTGGTTTCGTCATTTGTAGCCGCGTACGGTAACACTGCGACGTCAGTGCCAATCTTTGTGTGTGCAGCACTTTACATCGTTATGGCAAGATACGCTCCTGGCAAAGTTCCCGGGAACAGCGGCTAACCAATGACTTTAGGCCATAGTAGCTGTTCTGTTTCCCTTTGAACCCTACGGCAAGCGGGCTATGTAGAAGCAGGATGCCACAGGGAGACAAATGCTTGTCTTCGCGTCGACAAGGCAAAGTGGGAAGATTAAATAACAGCATGACTACAATGGCTTCGAACGGGCCTTTTTGCAAATCTGAACTTACGCTTCGCCATGAGTTGATGGGACTTCGGCTTATTGGTAAAAATAAACCCTATAATACTTTGAAAAGGGTGAATTTCCCACGGTCCAGAGCGTCATTTTGAGTTGAGGGAGGTTTTGTCTTTCGAGGGTCTAGTATATAGGCCTAATATAGTAGCTGAAGGCGACTCACCGTATTCTTTTCCAATGAAGAAGTTGAACATGTTATGTTGATAGCAACATGAAAGGAGAAGAGAAGTCAAGTTTCAATATGGAGCCGTTACTTGCAAGGTTACAAGCTGATAAACCAACATAAAACCCCTCCAGGCAGTGATCCGGCGCAGCTATATGTATTGCTATAAGTTGTGATCACAAACACCGAATTCTCGTACTCTAAGCGGTCAATTTAGGAAGGTGGTTATTAATTGCTAACACTAACCGTCGGATTACGGGTACGCTCCCCGGGCTACGGTCACCTGAGCGGCTCGCTCAGCACTCTAAAGGCGGCATACCCGATTCCACGAGCGCCACATCATTCACGTGGTCGGGTGGGATCCGATATCGTAGTTGAGTGAACTCATACGCGAACACGCTCTTATAGCATGGCTACCTTACTCTCTAAATCCAATATCTGATCGTGGGTATTAGATCACACAGTCTACATCCAACGACAGAGCAATGGACAGGTTTGATGTGGCCGTCGTTGGTCTTGGTGCATTTGGAAGCGCAACAGTATGGCAAGCGGCCCGAAAAGGGGTGAAGGTGGTGGGATTCGAGCAATTCGAGTTTGGACATGTGCATGGCGCTTCTCACGACACGTCGCGCATTGTTCGGACATCGTATGATGCTCCGGAATACGTCGCGCTTGCCAAGTCCGCTTACAAAGACTGGACAGAACTAGAAAAAGCCGTGGGAATGAAACTTTTGACGATAACCGGTGGTATCGTTGTCCTCGCAAATGACCGTTCTTGCTCTGCCAGCGCAAAGGCTTCGAACTATACGGCGAGTTTAGACGCAAACAACGTGCCTTACGAGCTCCTCAATGCCCAACAGGTCAAGAAGCGATGGCCGCAAATCAACCTTGGAGAAGACGTGGATGCGGTGTATACTGCCGACACTGGCATGGCCCACGCCGCCAAGTCAGTGACAGCGATGCAATTTGCGGCTCGCGCCCACGGGGCCGTTCTTAAAGAAAACACGACCGTCATCAGAGTCGTGCCTCTTGCAGGGGCCCAAAACACTAAAGGAGTCCTCGTGAAAACAACAAAAGGCGATTTCCACGCAAACAAGGTCGTTCTAGCCGCAGACGCCTGGATCAACAAACTGCTTGCCCCTCTGGGTGCTCAAATTCCGCTCACGGTCATGCAAGAACAAGTAACATACTTTAAGCCAACCAACCCCTCATCCTTCGAGCCCGGTCAATTTCCAGTTTGGATCTGGATTGTCGATGGCAGAGCATTCTACGGATTTCCTTCTTTTGGCGAACCCACGATCAAGGCTGCTCGTGACGCGTCAGACAATCTCATGTCACCGGAAGAGCGGACGTACGTCCATTCCCCAGAACTCCTCCACGAGTTGACTACTTTCATGAATGGCTTTATATCAGAAGACCAGAAGCTTGAAGCTCTTCGCACAGTAACCTGCCAATATGCTATTACTCCTGACCGACAATTCGTGCTCGGTCGGCTGGAGAATCATCCCGAGATATTCATTGCGCTAGGAGCCGGTCACGGTTTCAAATTCGCACCCGTCATTGGCCGTGTTATGGCTGAGCTGGCCATAGACGGAGAGACAACAGAAAATATCTCCAAGTTTGGCGTCCCGTCGAGTCGGTCGCCACTTCAAAGTAAAATTTAGAACAGCGATATGTGAGATTGCATTAGATATCAGAATCGGGATATCATGTTTGGCTAGACTGGAGAGCAGCATGTAACGCATAATTCCTAGCTTCCTCGACATCTAGGTGATGATAGCAAAATTACAACGGCAGCCTAGAACTTGATATGAGGTTCTCAGAATTTGCAATCTCCATAGTGATCCCCAGTCCATTTGTCATGGCCAGAAATCCAGTCAACATTCAGGCACTTAGCCATAACAGTCTGAATACATAGTTAGCAGGAAATCAGATAAGGAGTCGCTCTGCACAGGTAGTGATCTATAATGACCTAGCATGCTATGTTTCTGTGTATTATGTAATTTAAGCTTATCATTGTGGACTCTTCTGTTGCTCTAGATGGCCCATTTGTCGCACTCTGATATCGGCTGTGTGATTATCTAAAGCAGCTCATGTTACAGTGGTATGAAGACTTGTTATGTTTTCCGACAACTCGCCTTTTAGTAGCTTCTCCATAACTTGAGACTTCACGATAGACTTTAGGTAACTCTCAATGATATGACTGTACGCAAATATGGCATGTCCCGAGTTTGTAAAGACAAGACAACATGTGACTGTTCATCAGGCTTGAACCCCCCCCCCCCCCCCCCCCCCCCCTCTGCAGACTACTTGTGGCCTTCCCTGCCTTGCAGCTGACGGCAGGTGAACAGAGAGTTTTCTATTTGCACCTTTCATAGCGTCAATGCATGGCTGTTGTTGGATCGGAAGTTGTCACGTGTTTGGTTGCGCAAAGACTTCTACGTTGGGCTTTGTTGTGGTTGAAAGTGGAAGGTGCCGCTCGCTTCTCCTTGGGATAACTTCACGCGTCAAGCTTCGTCAACAAGCCACCGGCATTCATCCCAAGTCCCGTGACCTGTAGGCTTCCCTTAAAACATTTCTTCCTTTCCCCGGCACTCTCACCAACTTCCTTTCTCTTTCATCTTTCATCTCCCGGAAGTGTGAAGATCATCCCCAAAATCTGCACCCTTCCGTCCACACCTTCATCAACCTTTCACAGTTCACTTACCCCTTTCAGAATTCCCAGTCAGAATCTCCCTCATACCAACAACCTCACATAGCTCTCAGCTATCACGATGCAGCTTCCACCAGTGCACATGTACCCCCAACAGCCCACAGATCCTGTGGCTGTACAGGGCCATCCAACCATGCTGGTGTTCCCTCACGGCTATCCAGTTGGCCAGCATGTGGTGATCCAGCCTGTCCACACCCCAATCTACGGATGTCAGCAGGTCTATGCTTATCCTGTCTCCGGCCAGTATCGTCTGGTGATGGCTGGTCTCCCGATGGCTGGTCTACCGGGCGTCACCCAAGGTGGTCAGCCTCTGGCGCCAGCTTCTTATTCCATTCAGCACCACGCCCAGCCTCACCAGTAAGTCAAAAATCCCCAACTGTGTGCCTTTGCTTTGTTGTTCATTATTTCATCACTTTGCTTGAGAAGAAACAACTACTAACTCACACAGCTTTGTGGCTCCGGCTCTGACTCCTACCCCAACTCCAACCCTAGTCGGAGGACGATTCGACGCTGTGAATTCTCAGGATCATCCTGGCAATATCCCCAGCTACGAGAGCATTTTCTCAGATGCTAATCACACTCGGGCTGTAGCTAATGTGCACAAGACTGTGGCAGCTGTCAAGACTCCCGAGAACCCTTCAACTCCAGTCCCGACTCCAGTGACAGGTGTTGCCAACAAGATGACAATGACACTCTGCACTCCAAAGTCAGACAATCATCACTACAAGGCTGTTGCTCACTCTCTTGCTAAGACGACTGAGAAGACTGACAGTAGCGAGTACAATGAGGAGACGAAGGGAGCTAAGGAGCATGAGAAGGCTGTGGTCACTCCGGCTATGACTGTTCCTGAGTCTGCTGTGATTGATCACACTGTCAAGCCTGCTGAGACCACCAAGCCTGCTGAGAACAACAAATCTGCCGACGCTCTTGTCACTGCGGCCCCTGCTGCCATCAAAGTCTCCGAGGCTATCAAGTCTACTAAGGCTACCAAGCCTAACAATCCTCCTTATCGATCCATGTTTTCGCCACCCTTCCCCACTGATCTGGGCGCAATTGCCAGAAAGCAGACCGGCTACACTCCCAAAGGCCATCTTGTCGATTGGAAGCAGCTTGCCCTTGACCGTGACCGTGCTCAAGCTCAGGCTCAGGCTGAGGCTGAGGCTCAGGCCGTTGGCGGTGCTCCAGCGACTGGTGCCGCCAAGAAAGTAGAGACCTGGTCTTTTACTACGATTCCCCCTGCACATCATTACACTCGCAGACGCTCCAACAAGAAGGCCAACGTCATGGACAACGGCGAGAAGCGCTTCACCAACTTGGACGTGCTGGACCCGCGTGACGCCGACGTGAACCCGACCTAGCAGGAGGAGGCATTCGGCATTGCAGGTCTTACACAATGCGACAAGTGCAAGAAGTACTATATCCCGTCTGATCGACGCACTCACGTCTGCGGAGTTACCGGTAAGTAATTTGCATCTTGTCATCGTGGCAGCTGAGTTCTCACATTTGCGACCAGATTATTCTCGCCCCGTCCGCTTCTATGGTGAGACCAACTGATTGCATCTTCTCTCAGAAAACTCTTGCCTTTTTGGAAGGATGTCTCTCATCTGGGGTTCTATTCCAGAGGGACTTGGGCTCTATGAAGGCGATGATGTGGAGGGAATGCGAAGCAGCTGCTGAGGCTCTTGGACGGAACTATGAGGACAGTCTCAGATGAAGGAAAGCTTGCTATGTCAACGCGATGTCCATACACTTTGGACGGTTTATTGCATGATACGATTGAAGGAATTCTGGATTGGCCCCTGGGTAAGAGGCTCGTTCTCCTCCCATGCCTTTCTGGATTCTCCCTGCCCGCTAGGTCATGTTACTGGAATACTTGCTTCTCAATACTTTGATGTACCTAGGCTTTAGGACAGACAATCAGACACATGACCCCATCTCTCACCTTTTTTTGTTCTTGTATTAAATATGTAAGTGTTTGTGATTACTCAGTGGCGCCGCTGCATGCCTTCCTCCGGCATCATGCTCTCGCCGGGTCCGAGCTCCGAGCTTACACCTTCGCCGCAGCGGACTCGGCGCATCCAAATGCCCCACCAACCAGCTGGAATCGGTGCGTTTCCGCGGCGTCACCCCGCCTCCACCATCGAAGGATCGAAAGGCGCGTTTTACAGAGCGCGTTGTGTAATAGCAACTGAATGAGGAGTCATCGGTGAGGTGCTCACCAATCCAGTTCAACTGACTCACTGAGGAAAGCTCCGAGACTTCCCGGTTCTGAGCTGGATTGAACATGCACATCCAGCATATCGGCGGCGCGTTTAAGCCAGCTGCATCGCCATTCATTCGATCGAGTGTGATTCATCGTTCCCTGCCCTTCCTCACCACCGCACGAAGCATCGCAAACATGTCTCCCAAGGCTACAAATGAGCAAGCTCAGGCTTTCAAAGCTTTACACATTCCTGGAAAGCCAGTCCTGCTGCCAAACATCTACGATGTCACATCCACGAGGATCGTCGGAGCCCTGCCGGCATGCAAGGTCCTCGCAACAGCCAGCTTCGCCATAGCACTTGCGCAGGGGACCGAGGACTCAAAGCTCGACCTCAAGACTCACTTGTCTGCCCTCAAGGACATCGCAGAGGTCGCCCACGAGCTAGGCAAGCCCTTGACGGTTGATCTACAAGACGGCTACGGTGCACAACTCGAGGAGGCCGTCCGCGCCGTCATCGACCTCGGCGTCGTGGGCATCAACCTCGAGGACTCGGAGCACACCACTCACGCTATGGTCGACGATGCGACCGCTGTGGACCGTATCAAGCGCGTCCTCGCCGTGGCCGCTGACGCCGGCGTGCCTGAGTTCGTGGTCAATGCCCGCTCCGACACTCACTTCATGGGCGGTAGCTTGGATGAGTCGATTCGCCGCGGCAAGCTGTACCTCGAGGCGGGCGCGACGACTGTGTATATCCTCGGCACAGCGCCGACGGGGTTCACGCGGGAGGAGGTCAAGAAGATGGTGGATGCGCTAGACGGGAAGGTGAATATCAGTCAGAGGTTGCCGAAAGAGGGCATGGCCAGCACGCCGCTTACTAGTCAGCAACTGGGGGAGCTGGGCATTGCGAGGATCAGTGTTGGCCCGCAGCTTTACTACGCTGTTGCAGAAGTTCTCAAGAATAGCGCTGCCCTGGTCCTCGGGAACAGCGCTAACTCGTAGTCTCAACCCTGTAACAAAGGCTGGAGCGGTCCCTGAAAGGGAATGCTTCAGTAGTTTCTAACCAATAATTGATTGCCAATGAGTATTTAGTGGAGTGAGGGTAATATTGATACATTGCGTGTAAATAAACCAGGAGGCGCGAAAAGCCCAGCTTGCGACTTGCTTGTCCGAGGCTGAAGCTAATCTCCTCTGTACCAAGTCGTGTTTGTACAGAACTTCGCCCTTGAGAAGGCCCAGTCCAGAATCTCGTGTTTGCTGCCAGAGTTTTCTGATACTACTCTTCCTAATGTCCTTGCATGGTGGATTTGTCAATCGGAGACAGAAACACGTATATCTGTCCCAGGCCACAGTGAAACTACTTTAGAGCTATGCTAAAGAGTAGATATATAAATTTACATGCTTTATAATTCCAATAAACCTCTTAGGGGTCATCTCGGCGCGATCCAATTCTCCCCTTACGAAGATTGCAAAGCTCAAGCATATTCCCATCACAGTGAGTTGCGTGTAGGCAGTCCTTTGCCTCTATTGACAACGGCGTTCGTTGCATATCCAAAGGTTTGATCACTCGTTCGTCTTTGGTCTAGTCACCTTACATCGTTCATTGAAAGCCACACACAATGGCTGCTCATGCAATGGGCAACGGCACTTTATCATCCGGCTGTGACATACTTCCAGAGTCCGATTCATCTTTCCAAGAGCTGCAAAGGCTCCTCCCCACTTGGAGGCCCACCCAAAGATTTTCGTCTGGAAAATCTTAGCCAAGGTCCATGACACAAGTCTCCAAGCTGGCCAATCATTATAGCTTATGAATGCTGCTATTTGACATAATGGATTCATGGGTGCCTGTTTATTCAGACGTGTCGAGGAAGCTTTTAAAGCTCGTATCGGAAGTGAAGATTCTCTTTCTAGCATAGACATTAGTATTGGGATATTTCGCGTTCACTAGATAATGAACTCACATCAGTCTTATCCGAGAGACCGAGAACAATGATATCATGCACTCCAGCTGCGGGGGTGTCGCCAGCCAAGCGATCACGCTGCCCAAATTTAGTGTTGCTCACTTCGTGAGAGTGAATTGACTCACCTTGCGATTGTCTCTCGCCTTGACGAAGTAAAGCAGTCCCATGAAGAAGACTTGGGCACCAAAACAGACAAGCATAGACGCGAAGCCTGATTGGTAACGAGGCTCCTCACGCTCGAAGAAAAGCTGCGGCCCGATCAGGTTACCAACGCAGTAACTGAGAGAGAGTCCGTTAGTACAAGGAAAGTAACGAGTCATGGAATGAGAGCCTTACCTAACGAAAACTGACGATGTGAACATGGTCCGCTTCGTTCTTCCAGCAACGTTCGCCTGGACGAGACTGAGACTTTGCACAAATGTAACGCTGAATCCAACAAGAAGATAGTAACCACTTGTTGTTCGGTCAGCTATCTGTCAACAGATTGTCTTGTACTAGACAACAAACTTACATTAGCCTTCCAACGCGATGGGAATCAGGGAGAGCGTAAATCAAAGCAGAACCAATAATGGCAACAAGTACACCTCCTATCGCAACGAAATGTCGGACGTTTTTAACCTTCATGGTGATGAATCTTGAGCTCCTGTTAGTAAAACGAGCTAAACATGAAGAGATTCGAGTAAGCATACCCGGCAGTCCACAGTGCCATGATCTGAGCGGCACCACTAGGCATATTGAGTAATGTTGACTGAAATTTAGTGAATCCAAATCCATTTACGATCAATGGCCCAAATGCAGAGACAGATCCCTGTCATATTGAGGTTAGCTTGACCTAGATCCATATGATCAAGAGACCCTGGCTCTTACATTAGGAATGCAATTGGCTAGAGTGTTCAGGTTCAGCAGCCAAAAACTGGGGTCAACCAAGGCTTCCTTGACTTGGTACCACTTGAACTTCTTATTGTCGATACCGGTTTCGTTCTCGGCCAGACGAAGAACGGCAATTGCCTTCTCCTCCGGTGTCAACCATTTAGCTTTAATTGGGTTAGAAGGTGCAAAGTACAGAAAAACGAATCCCCAAACAATGGTGATCGATCCAAAGATGACGAAGGGAAACTTCCAGGCAGGAATGTCAGCATTGATAAATCCAATGCCGTATCCGATGAGGCCACCAAGGATGTTCGCCAAGCCATTCATCGAAAACCAAATGCCAGTTCGGAACGGCTGTTCGCTCCTACATGCACAATCAGCAAATGCCTACGCAGAAGAGATTTACTGCTTACTTCGTGTAGAACATGGACGTAAGAAGAACAAAGCACGGGCTGACACCAGCTTCTAGCGCGCCGAGAAACAGGCGCGCGGTCAAGAGGCCGGCGAAGTTATTGGCACCAGTCATACAAAGAAGAACAATCCCCCATAGGATGATGAAGATACCGCAGGTGCGGGCAATGTTGAATCGTTGGAAGAGGACATTGGTTGGAAACTCGCTGACCATGTACCCGATATAGAAGATAGTGGTGAGCCAAGCATACTGTTCGCCTACGAGATGTGCGTCCGTCTTCATACCCTACGACATCTGGAGTCAGTAGTTGCTTTCCAAGAGCAGTGAAAAGGTAGAAAATGCTGGTTTACCCATAGAGCAGCATAAGAGACACATGACTTGTCCAAGAACTGTTACTCTAATATCAGCCTCAGTGTCCTTCAACTGTTATATGTGGTGCTTTACCTGGATCAGATAGGTGAAGCAGAGAAGCGGTAGCAGGTGAAGGTCAATTTTGCGCAACACCTTTTTTGCCTCGGGACTATCCAAGTGGATGTTGGCCACAGTCCCGGTAAGAGCCTCCAGGCCCACATCCTCGCCCTCGAGGTGCTTCTCACCGCGTTCGTGATCCGCAATGTCCATGGTGACTGATTCCTGTGTGGGCTGGGAGGTAACCTCCTTATCCGACATGATCTCCTAAATTTTCGTCTTTGAATCCGTGTACAGACTGAAGCGCGTAGTGACTGGCTGCCGGGGACTTGCAGCTTGGTCAGAGAGACAACGTTGGAAGGTTTTATGTCCCTCCCCAGGATCGAGGTCAAGCTCTCCGAAATCCGTTATCTATGTTGATCATGTTACCGAACTCGCAGCCTGCTCCAAGGTCAAGCCATCTGCAATCGTTATCTATCAATCTAGCTTCTTGTTGTTCGAGATGTGGATCTCGGGCAAGGATAGTGTGGAATAGTCTTCGGCACCATCGGCAGGACCGAATACGGCCCGACCGAAACCGATATTGCTCGAAAGTCGATGAATATGATTCGCAGTTTGCTTGTCCTAGCTGATGAGGAGTAAAATCATTGCTCTTTAACTCTCGGCTATCTATCCGAAAGTGCTTTCATCCTTGTGGTGCAGCTTGTACAAAACGTTGTGCCGTCTACTTGGCATTTCCCAAAGCCTACACCGGAACATACCCGAACACACCCACCAATCTCTTAACATGACTGTAGTCTACCCAAAGGGCGGATTTCAATCTGCAGATGTTATCGAGGAAGTGATCACAGCTATTGACAATGCAAATGAAGAGATACGCCGCTTGAACCTTGAGGTTGGTATCATCGGCTTGCCGTGTATCACTTGACTGACAGTGTAACACCGCCAGATCTTCAACCACCCGGAGACCGCGTTTCATGAAACCCGAGCGTCAAAGCTTCTTGCCGATTGGTTTGACAGCCGAGGATATGATGTCAAACGAGCTGTTTATGGCATTGATACTGCTTTCGAGGCGCGCTTCTCCGTGAAAGAAGGCGGGAGGATTGTTTGCTTTAACGCCGAGTATGGTACGTGGAGTTGAATACATTGCCCTGCTAGTACCTTGCTGACCGAAGCAGATGCTCTACCCGGAATGGGCCACGCATGTGGACACAATCTCATCGCGACATCCTCTATCGCTTCCGCAATTGGTGTCGAAACCGTCATGAGGTCAAGAAATTTAGCGGGCACACTTGTAGTCATGGGTACGCCAGCCGAGGAGTCGAGTGGTGGCAAGTGGATTATGGCGAAACATGGCGCCTGGAAAGGGTTTGATTCGTGCGTCATGACACACGGCATGGCCAATTTTAGCACACCCCTCTGCGTGACAAAGGCATCATGGAAGTTGAAGGTGAAATATAGGGGCAAGGCAGCACATGCTGCGACGGGTCCATGGACAGGTCGAAACGCTTGTGATGCTATAGTACATGCGTATAATGGTATCGCATTACTACGACAACACTTGAACAAAAAAGAGAGCATCCAGGGCGTCATCTTGGAAGCCGGCAAGGTATCTAATATCATCCCAGACTTCTCCGAGGGGTCTTTTAGTGTCCGAGCTCCCACCATGAAGGCGGCTGAGGCGCTGAGGGCAAGAGTTGAGCCCGTGTTCCAAGCGGCTGCGGCTGCGACTGGATGCAAAGTCGAATTGGACTGGTGAGCAATGTGGCCCTGGTCTATCAGACGAATATCACTGACAAGACGACAGGTACGCGCTGTACGAAGATGTTGTCTCCAATGAGATTCTCGCCGAGCAATATCGACAATACATGCTCCAGCATCTGGGGCTCACGCCGGAAAATATGATCCCACTAGATGAATCCAGAGTAGTACATGACCAGCCGGGTTGCTCGTAAGAACACACCATGTTTTCCCTCTTTATTCTAGCTAATGCGCCATACATAGGGACTTTGGCAGTTGCTCGTATATCTGTCCTGGGATACAATCTATGTTCAGCATCAATGCGACAGATTTGCCCCACTCGATTGGATTTCGCGAGGCATCCGAAGGTGGGTTCGCCCATGCGGAGGCATTGCGAGCAGGAAAAGCAAATGCTCTCATCTCCTTAGATGTGCTTACAAATGATGAGTTCGCGGATAAGATGAAGGCAGAATTCATAGATGCGATGAAAGAGGCAGGTCGGTGGATAGAATAGTAAGACGAAAGTTTACTCATGTTGTCCATTTGCTATCTACTATCGAAATAGCTGCATGGCAATTTGGAAGAGCGCGCCGTTTGTGTATGCCATTGAGCGTTTATTTGTGGATACATGTCGGTTAATCCAGTGTGTAGGTGTTGAGTACCGGGAATGGCTCGTCCCACGTCTAAACGGTATGAGTAATTGGCCTCAATAGACCATCAGTGATATGCAATAGACTCACAGCTGCATCCAAAAAGCTCGGTATGTCAAATAAAACTGCGTCATCTGCATCTTCTGGTAAGATGCTGCCCTCCACTTCTAGCGGTGAGAGTATTGTTTGCGTAGCTAGTGCGATTCTTTCCTGTTCTCGTCGAAGGTCATTGGCAGCTTCCAGAGCGCCAGCTTCCTCAAACATTTGAGCAGCTTGACGCAATACAGCGAAGGCTTTTCCGCAGTCTACATAATTGTGTGAGGTGGAAATAGCATTCAGTATGAAATTTACTGAATGATAAGTGGTAATTCCACTATAGTCCTATAACCTTTTAAGCTTCCAACCAGGAGTAGGTACTAGTTGCTCGAGCACTCACGATTGTATATCGCAATCTTTGACGAAAGTCTTTTGATTCGGCTTGTGTCCGTAAAAGAAGCACGGCGCTATCGAGAGCCTTTTGTATGAACGACAGTCTGTTGGTATCCGGAACATTGCCGTCGGGCACCATCCCATGAAGACCAAAGCCGTTGATGTAGCTTTCGGAAATGAAGAATTAGCTTAATATTCCGTCCAGTGCTGTTCAGGGCTTACATTTTCAAGAAAGCATATGGAACCATGAAGCGGTTCCTGTCCTGCTTGTCTGCAAAGGTCTGGTAAAGAGGTTCAATGCTGTTATTGATCTCGTAGAACCATCTGTCCACACGTTGATCCCAGCTTGATAAGAGTTGAACTACTTCCTGGGGCAGGGGATTAATCTGCAGCCGTGATTTTGGCAACTGAGATTTGGCATCGGCTATGGGATGAGTGTAAGTTGCCTGTCATGCATGAGTTTGGACGGAACATACCTGCTATCGTGAAACCATCGATATACGCGCATATACGAAAGTCAACCGGTCGAGAATAAGGAGACGTGAGAAGCCTTTTAGCAAATGGAAGGTACTTCCTCATCAGATTCACCACAAACGGTCGATTGAGATGTGAACTTCAGTAATGTCAGCATATAGTCCAATTTAGCCATTTGGAATGTTTCAACTTGCACTAGGTCAAAACAGCAGATTGAGAACCATGTCCGCGCACGCTCCACAATTTCGTGCGTATGCTCGATCTCATCATCACCAAGCTGAAGAGCTGCAGTGTTGAGCCCAAGCTCGATGGCTACGGAGCCGATGTAGCCCCATATACGACCCCGTCCTGTCCAAGCGGTCAAAAGCATCATGGCTTGAACAGCTAAAAGATCAGGTGTTGGACCTGCAAAGGATTGTTTTATCTGCTCATCTGCATCATGGATGTACGTCTGGTACTTTTCTGGCTTGACTGCCCTAGCAGCAATGGCGCAAATAACTGTAGACATCAATGAATGCTGCCGGATATCGTTGGTATTTGAATATGTTTGGTCATCCATAAAACCAATCGTGGTTCTGCAATTCTCATAAAAGCTGCAACTGGTTAGAAATGTTATATGATCAGGATATAGAAGGCTGATACGACTCACAAGTCTGAGAGTTGATCCCATTCTTCTGTAGTGCTATGAGCACTGGCGCCTCCGCCAAATCGCAATCCGCTATTTGATCTAATTTCAGGAAGTATCAGAGCATTATCGGATGTGCTGGGCTCATCTGAGTGCCCCAAATCAGATCTAGACTTCGGTTTTAAAGACGCGACAGTGCGTTGCAGTTCTTGTATCTCCGATCTGTGCCGTGCCTCGAGAAGATCAAGACGCTGCTCTAGAATGGCAAACCTGTCGCTTGATGGCAAAAAGTCAGTGTCCAATAGTTTGGTGTAAAGCAAGCATCATACAACCTTGCTTGCGGCCCTGCGGCCTCAGAATTCGTCAAACGAGCGGCTTTTGGCTGGACAAAGACACATTGGGCCTTGGCCGTCTCACACCTCCTACACGGCACTTTACTAGGCCCGCCACATTTGAGCTTTTGTCGTCGGCAGCGGAGACATGCTGCCAGTGATCTACAGTCTGTTAATGATATTAATCATGCGCGACAGGTTCACTATCCTATACCTGCTTGCATCAGCCATTGCGGCCTTCAGTTGATGAACGTTGGATCATCCACGCGAGGAGAGAACAGGGCAAGGCCACTGAGAGCACATTGTGGTTGGCGCTAACAATGAGCCCACACGGGAGCCGGCCCAAGGCTGCATGCCAGCCGACAATCCGCGAGTCAGCGTGTTCTCAGTAGATATCCTCTAACATTATCTCCTCTAATTCAAGCTAAATTCCCATACTATCAACATACTCTAATAACACAGGAATTTAATTGCAATCTAGCTTGGGCAACATAACATCTCTCAATCTACGATTATTGAGAAGTCTACGCCTATATTAAACTCTAGACGGTCGATCAGAAATGTACAGATATTGGTCTCCAATCTACAATAAAGAGTAAAAATAGCCGAGATACTCCTAAGTCAAGACCAATCCGAGTGGACATCGGCATGTATCGGCCAACGGTCTTTGAACAGTTCCAAAAGAACCATAATCAGACCTTCGGAGCATTGAAGCATCAGCTAGAGTCTGATGCCTCGTCGTTCGGCACCCTATGGTGGGAAACAATATCGGCCAAGACAGCCGGCAAGCAGGGTTAATCGAGACGATGTCAAGGATGCATTCGCATCATCTGCCGACATGACTATGTTAATGTTTTAGTCAAGACCGCCGGTGAATCGGACGTAGAAATCTATCTCTTCATCTAAGTCACATGAGGCAAAGTCTTGTCACGTATACTCCCATTTGCTGGGTGTGGTCAGTAGATTTATACATATGGTTAGACAACCCACAGTCTTGCCTGCTAAATATCTGCTAAATTTCCTCGTCCAAAGAGTTGTGTTCCAAAATCCAACAAATGAAGACTTATTTTACAATCATGCCCTCCAAAACACTTCCCCATGCCGACCATTTCGAGCCTGTCTCGCCGACGCAAGAACCAATCGATCTCGTTGATCTGATTGCGGTGGACCTCGCCACTTACAATGACGGGCCTAAAGCACGAGAGCAAATTGCGCAAGACATTCTCAAAGCTATGACTACACAAGGTTTCTTCTATTTCAGGAGTCTATTCTTGCTCTTTTACTAAGCCACATATTCAGAGCTTTGAAATACATTTCAGAGTTCCGTGATTAGAAGAGGGATGTCGCCTTGGTCTGCACCAGTAGCAGCACTATATTGACTCAAAGTCCAACACGCGACACTGCCATGGAGAAAGCTAAGTTTGACATGCTACCGTTGACAGAACCACTGCGACCAGACGCAAAGGCCACCATCTCTATAGACTCGGCGGTCAGCATCTTGATCTCGCCTGGATTGGCGGCCTGCATCCTGGAGCGGACCCGAGACAGGAATTGGCGCGCGGCCGCCATGGCACGAGGCGAGAGCGCCGCATATTGCGCCTTGGCCGTCTCCTTGGCGTACGTTTTGAGGACGAACCCGACGGCGAACCCAGCAGCCATGGAACCAACCACTTTCAGAGGGTTAATGGGCTCGCCCGTGAACAGGGGTCGAGCGATGGCTTGCGTGCCGCTGTCGACGGCACCGCCGATACCCGCGGCCAGAGCCTTCTGGCCCATCTCGCTGAGGTTGTTCCCACGGAACTTGAACCCGGCGGCGTAACGAGTGGCGGAGGGCTTCACAAAGTCACCAGCATACCCGCCCAGGGCGCCTACCGCAGCATCGATGATAGCGTTCTCCATAGTGTACTTGGCGCCGCTCACTTGCGCACTGGCGAGCCCTCCAATCACGTTGCCAGCAGCGCCGCCAATGACGGCTGATGCCTCGAAGCGCCATCGACTCCTCTATAAAGCTGATCAACCACTTTGCAGACGGCACCGGCTGGGAGGACGGAGTTGAGACATTCCTCGCTAACGAGGTCTTTGGCATCGATAAGGATGCAAAGCCGTCAAACAGCGAAGTCGATCAGTCCGATCCTATTTCCATCAACGTTCTGAGGGCCCCATCCGGTCTTACCTGTGACTCGGCTGATCAACTTGGACTTCTGCTGAAGTCGGATAATCTTGAGGCTGTGGTACGCACAGCACCTGCTCTCGCCACGCCGAGCAAGCAAGCAGCCCAGAAGTCTCTTCGTCTAGCTCTCTTGTTCATCACACTCCTGTCTGCAGCTGCGATGCTCTCCGCCCTCGTCACTCAACGTGTCTGGATCTTCTAACCTTTGCGCGCCACTGGTGGGTAAGACTTTTCATGTTGATTGGGGTTTATTAGTCTTCTACCTCTTAGGGTTATAATGGCGATGTCTGTAATATCGAATTATTATTCAATCAATGACGAGATCTTTAAGCGTCACAAGTCAAGGAGGTGTGATGCTGGATCATTAACAGAGGAAGGAAAGAGCTACAGCAGAAGCTACCGCCTTCCTTCCTTCTGACTTTATTTTGTTACTGACTGTGCTGCCTAAGGCGGTGTTACCCCTTACCGTCTTATCATTGTTATCAATCTCGGCAGCGGCAAATGCAAGCCTCGCGCTTTCCACTTCACAGAATCATGATGAATCTCGGGTCTCGGTCATCGCCACTGCCTTCATACTGAGCGTACTTTCCGTTTCTCTTGTCCTTGTTGATTTTCATGCAGTGAAGCACGTTTGCGAGAATGCTATTCTGATATTAGTCACATGAGATCAAAACAACACCCCGAGGTAAGACTCACGCAAACCAGGCATACACCAACAAGCCAAGAATGATGGTATGGCCCTTGTGGTAAAGCGGACCATCAACGCTGGGATATACGAATGCTAGAAATCATTCATCAGCGATCCATCTTTACAACTGTCCTCAACTCAGAACTCATTCAGAACTCACTAGCAACGAATCCTCCAGCATTAGCAATAGCCAGCTGAAGAGCAGAGGTGGTAGCTCTCTTGTAATGGCCCGCAGAGTTGTTCGAATTCCAACCCAGCACACAAGGCACGCTGCTGTACATGCCCAGGGCCATCAGACAGGTCATGCCAAAGCGCACCTTGGCAGCCGAGACATTCGCAATGGTGGCGTAGCCTGCGATGGAAATGGGCAGAGTGAAGAGCATGACGACACCTCGAAGTCTAAGGCGATCGGAAATAAACGCAACAAGCACTAGAAGGAATCAGTGTCTGTAACATGGCGTTGGAAATCTCGCCCTGTATCTCTTACCTGTCACTGGAGTTGCCACCGCGTACGGAATGACGGACCACAGCTGAGTCTGATTCGCATTCTTTGTTATTTTCATGTCATTGATAATCGTCGGCAACTGCGAACGTGTTGTTAGCACCTTGGGCTCCTCTACAGGGCCGAGGCATCTAGAATACTCACAAAGAGACCAAACGAGTACAGTCCGGCCAAGATGGCAAAGTAAGCCGTCGCAGTGAACCAAACTTGGAGATTGAGGATACCGCGACGGACTTCGGACCACTTGAAGCGTTCCTCTCGTTCGAGAGCCGTGCTATAAAGAACGAGGTCAGCACGATGATCCCATGCAGCACCAGGAACACTCACTTGAATCTTTCACCCTCAGGTCCGCCCATGTGCGCATGCCCGGAGAGCCTATTGATGGCAAATGCTCGCTCCTCCGGTTTCATGAAGGACGCAGTGGCGAGATTGCTGGGCAGAAACAAGTATGCAATTACGCCGCAAACAACAGTCTGGCTATTATCAGTCCTGACTTCCCAAAGGTTGGGCCTAGTGAAACTCACCAAGAGCCCCTCGATGATGAAGATCCATCTCCAGCCTTCAAGGTTGCCGCGAGGTCCGATAGCGGACAGTCCACGTGCCAATAGACCACCGAACGCGCCAGACAAAGAAGCTGCTGTGTAGAAGAGCCCTATGCGCAAGGCCATCTCCCCTCGAGTGTACATTCCGGAGAGGTACAACACCATGCCGGGAAGCAGGCCGCCTTCAGCAATACCCAGCAAAGCTCTAACCTGTTCATTGCTCAGTCACGCACCACATTGACATGGACATCGCGAGGAGACTCACAGCGATGAAGCTTCCCACATTCCGCACGAAACCCAGGCACATGGTGATGATGCCCCAAGCAACGGTCAGCAGCGGCAGCCATACTTTGGGCGTCATATGCTTCATCACGAGATTCGACGGTAGCTCGCTTCGAGGGTGTTGGTCAACGACGAAAGGAAGGATGAATGAGCAAGGACTCACCTAAGGATATATGTTGCGTAGAAAACAGCCAGGCCGGTGTTGTACTGCTGGTTGGTGATACCGAGATCCTTTTCGAGACCGATAATCTTGGCATTGCCCACGTTGGTACGGTCGAGGAAGGAGCATAGAAAGAGCAGTGCGAGGATGGGGAGGATTCTGGATCACCGTCAATCTGGGCTTTCACGGCTTCACGTCGTATGGCAAGTAAATGGCTATCTGGGACAGTACGACATGCAAATTGCAATGAACTCGATGAATGTTTACCTGGTGTCCATCTTGAGTAGCACACGCCGCGTCATGCGGGCGTGTTCCTCAGCGGGGATGACATTTTCGATCTCACCGGCCGCGGCCTCGATCTTCTCGGCGTCGACGTCTCGTGAGGGAGCCATGCCCAGCCAATAAAGAGGGTTAGAATATCAGCGGAATGGAGTCCGAAGCGATGTAGTGCGGCTCAATCATTCATGGGATGGATCTGGCGCGGTTTGTCGTTCTTCACTGCGCAATAACCTATGTATGGCCACCTACCGGCAGTTGATTGATTGCTCGAGAAAGACAGGAAGAACAGATGAACCCGCCAGGTCAATTAATTATGTACAAGAACAGAAACGTCCCGTCAACCAGGTTTCTTAAGAGACCGCACATTGCGGCAGCAAACACACAAACCAATACATACGCCAAGGGCCACACCCCCATGACAACTGGCAAGCCACCCCGCACCGCCCGCGCACGCTTCCCCAGAGCTAGCAGGAGGAGCTTGAGCAGACAGTCAAGCACAATGTCACAGTGCCACAGTGAAGCTTGACCTCCATCAAGCATTCTCCAGTAGAAGCGGGGAAGGCGTCAGCGGCTGCCGCCAATTGGGGTGCCGGCATTAGCAGATCCTGGGCAGGCCAGGCAGGCCAAGCAGACCAAGGATGCACCCTGTCCTCCACATTACAGGGCGCCTGGTTGGATGTTGGAGGTTGAGTGGCTGCCAGCTACAGTACGGACGGCTGCAGCGTATGATTACCACAGCAAACACTGGAGAGTCAGCGCTAAGATAACGGATGCGGCAGTCCGTAACGTTATATCTTAAAAGACGATGCCCTTGAGAGCTCTGTCAGGGTCATGCGGTGGTACATTTACTACCCGCGACGAGGCTTGCATCGTACAGTGGCTGGAGGGGGACTGCCGATCGCGCTCCCGACGGCCTTACTACGGAAATGTGTGGAGGAGATCTGGGGCGATGATGCCCTCGGTCATTTTTGTGGCCGCCGACAATCCGGTAGGGCGGCCGATGAACGGCGGCGCATAGAACAAAGTCCCGGGCTGTGGCATCTTGTAAGTGCAGTGTGTGGAATTGGCGATGATGAGCTTCAAACTTCACATGTGAAAAATCCTTCGAAGATATTTCTGGATTTGGATGCTTAAATAAGCCTCAAGTCATTGTCGTCGTGATTCTGCATCGCTTGGTGTGAGACTCTCAGAATGGCGACGGTAACAAGGAGGCTACGGCCTACAACGCCTGTGAGATCAATTGCATCTCTAGAGAGCCGGCAATGGGCATCGATGCGGCAATTGCCCATAATAGCTGCTTCCACAGCTTCAGCACAACAGTCGACGTGTTTGCGATGCCGGCCTTTCTCATCATCGCCTCGCAGGAGATTTGCAGATGTTGCGCCAGCTGTGAAGCGCGGCGAATCGAAGCTGTATGAGTCTGCCGATGCGGCTGTCGCTGATATCAAGAGCGGCTCGGTCATTCTCAGCTCTGGATTTGGACTTTGTGGTGTCGCAGGTATGTTAAGACCGTCAAAACATCCCGTGTTCTATCCCGGAACAACCCATTACTAAACACCGGTCTCAACAGAAACAATCATCACCGCCCTCCACCGCCGCGGGCCCGAGTCCCTGCACTCACTGACCGCCGTGTCCAACAATGCCGGCGTCGAAGGCAAAGGCGGGCTAGCGCCGCTCGTGCAGTCCCGACAGATCAGCAACCTCATCCTCTCCTTCCTCGGCAGTAACAAGGATCTGGAGAAGAAGTACCTGTCCGGCGAGATCGGCATCGAGCTGTGCCCCCAGGGGACGCTGGCCGAGCGCATTCGCTGCGGCGGCAGCGGCATCCCGGCCTTCTTCACGGCAACCGGCGCGCATTCGCTGCTGCAGGATGGCGCCATTCCCGTGCGATTGGCGCCCGACGGCCGCGTGCTCGAGCAGGGCCGCCCGCGGGAGACGCGCGTCTTCGATGGCAAGACGTATCTCATGGAGACGGCGCTGAAGGGCGACGTGGCGATCTTGCGGGCGTGGAAGGTCGATAAGGCGGGCAACTGCGTCTTCAGGTACACGACCAAGGCGTTTGGCCCGATCATGGCCAAGGCGGCCAAAGTAACAATCGTCGAGGCGGAGAATATTGTCGAGACGGGAGAAATCGACCCCAATGATGTCGATCTGCCGGGCATCTTTGTCGACCGCATCGTGCCTGCGACGGCGGAGAAGAAGATTGAGATTATGAAGCTCCGCTCGACGGACGAGGGCGAGGATTTGGCTAAGCCGAAGAATGATGCGCAGGTGCGACGGAATCGCATTGCGAGACGGTCAGCGAAGGAGCTGAAGGAGGGCTTCTATGTGAACCTGGGTGTTGGTATCCCGACTCTGGCGCCTTCGTTCTTGCCTGCCGAGCGTAAGGTCTGGATCCAGTCGGAGAATGGTATCTTGGGCATGGGACCGTATCCCACGCGCGACGAGGTTGATGCGTAAGTTGAGATGCCGCTCTGTGAACGCTCAATGAATATGGACTAATTCGTCACCAGTGATATCGTCAACGCCGGCAAAGAGACAGTCACCCTCGTCCCTGGTGCTGCGACCTTCGACAGCTCCGAGTCCTTCTCGATGATCCGCGGAGGACATGTTGATGTGTCGATTCTGGGGGCGCTACAAGTCAGCGCGAGTGGCGACCTGGCCAACTACATGATCCCCGGCAAGGTGTTCAAGGGCATGGGAGGCGCCATGGATCTTGTCTCGAATCCGGACCAGACCAAGATTGTCGTGGCTACCGAGCACGTTGCAAAGGACGGCTCCTCCAAGATCGTCCAGGACTGCAGCTTGCCGTTGACTGGTGCCAAGGTCGTGAGCACTATCATCACGGATCTGGTAAGCCAGCTTCCCCTCACATAATTAGGAAAACATTATGCTAATTTGTTCATAGTGCGTATTTGAGGTTGACCGACAAGCCGGGACGCTGACCCTGACCGAGGTGGCACCAGGTGTTGATGTCGAAGAGATCAAGAGCAAGACCGATGCCAAGTTCACCGTGGCAGAGGACCTGAAGGAGATGGAGTAGAGAGTCGAAGCCATAGATTGTATTGAATTGCATGTACATCTCTTTCAAAGGTTCGCATTTCTCAGGCGGTTCTTGCATCATTGGATAGGGAAGAGGCATTTGTTTCGATGGGCAGGTCATAGATGTACATACATCACAGGCATCCGTATATATTTATAGCTTACATGTACAAAATACGCACTACAAACATTAATATATGCAACCCTATCTAGATCGCCCTTTTCCTGTTATATACAAGCTTTATGATCTTTTCTACATACATACAAAACCAGATCTATATGCCAGCATCACCACTCCCATCACGCTCACAGCTTCGACTCCCTCCCCGCCGCGAAATTACTGCCAATCGCCTCGGCAATGCCATCCACGCTCCTCAATATCCACTCGCAGCCCTCGTCGCTGGCCAACCACTCCACACTCGCGACATCGTCGCCCCCGTCCTCCGCCTCCCGCCGGTGGATCCCCTGCTCCACCGCCTTGCGCAGCCCAAACACATGGCTCAGCACCTGCGGCCCGACGCCCGTCTGCGCGCGCAGACACGCAATCGCCACGACGGACGTCAGCACGCGGCCCACCCGCGCGAGGCCGCCCCGCTGGGCCGGGTCCGGGTCGGACAGCAGGGGCCCGTAGTGGCTGGAGAGGATGTGCACGGGCAGGTCGGGGTGGCTGTCGGCGAGGCGGGCCACCAGCTTGGCGTCGAACGGGTCGTAGACGCTCTTCCACAGGCGCAGGCCGCGCTCGCTCACGGCGGCGATGTTGGCGGGGCTGACGCCGCGCGTGGGCGCCGTCTCGAGCTGCGACACGACGTCGGCGGGCAGGGCGGCGCGGAAGGCGCCGAGGCAGTTGATGGAGCGGGGGATGCCGTTGAAGGAGATGCACTTGAGGCCGACCTCGCGGATGAGCTCGGCGGCAGCGACGGGGGGTTCTGGTTTCGGAGCGGATGAGGAGGTTGCGGTGTGGAAGAGTTGGGCGAGGGATTCGGGAGAGTTGAGGGTGAATGAGGCGGCGGCCTGTTTGAGAGCCATTGAGTTAGTCAAAGACGACGACATTTGAATCAGGTAGAGCAATTAGAGAGGGAGAGGGAGAGGAAGATCGTACGGATAGAGCTAGCCACGGCCTGTTGCCGACATTCTTCTGTGAGGCCTCGTTTGCTATGCGCAGGTAGACATCGCGGATCTTCGCCGGGGCCTTGGCCGGGCCGGGTCTGCTGAAGGGGGCGTTGATGAGCTCCTTGAGAGCGGGCGCGAGCTTCGACATGTCGTCTTTGGCGTTGTTATTGTTGTCGCTATGCCGGTCGCCAGCGCCTTGATCTTGTTTCGTGTATTTGTGGTGGTGGTGTTGGTTGATGGCGGCTCTGTCTGACGAATTGGAAGTGGGATTGCCGCTTCGGCCGGTCTTGTCTGCAATGAGCAATGTCTTTTCCTTGTGATTCTTCTTCTTCCTCTTCGGAATGGACATTATTTACTCCAGCCGCAACCTGATTGCACCGGACCGGAACGGGGCCTCAGTCGAATCGGATCACCTCATCATGCGAGAATGGCATTCGGCTCGCGATCGGAGGGCGGGGAGTTCTTTTTCGGCGTGTAGAATAACCCCCGACGCTGTATCTTGAGTGTCGCTCTTGAATGGCGCTAGTCGCCTCACCGAGGTCCACCGAACGGCCCACCCCGGCGGTCGTTCTTCTAGACGCCGTGTAAGTGAGCTCACATGTGCTGTGTGAGATGCCACTTTGCCTATACTATACAAAACAGGTAGGCTGTTTATTATGGTAGAAGATAGTAGAGGAAGCTGTACATTACATACATACATACATAGAACCAGCAATTGCTCAGAGTAATTGAGGGAATTACCACCACCACCAAAAATGGGTAGTGCAAAGGGGAAGAGAGAGCAGCCGTTCTGGCTTGGGTGGGCTTACCTAACCCGCTGAAAAGAGAGGGCAGACTGCTAATTTGGGCCACCTACAGGGGAGCTGCAGCCGCCATGGCAGTGTGTTTTAGTGAGTCCCGTGCCCCGTGCCCCTGAGTGAGGGAGAGCGTACCTCAGCCACAGTGAGCTTAGAGCATGCCACCGACTGACCGATGCTGTTGTCAGCACACCCCTTGGACCAGACCAAATAGTGCGTTACGCTACCAAGACAAGACAATCAGAATGTAGTAAGGAGTACAGTATTAATAAGACCTGATGTTAGTCGAATGCAGGTTCTGCACACAAGAGCCCCTATGCTCAAGACACTATACAGCTTCGCTGCACGAGATGGTACGTGTTATAGAGTATAGGTATCAAGCTGTTGCTCTAATTAACATGGCCAGGGATACCTTCACTGTGGAATGGTCTATCAGCCTCAATATTACGCCAAGCTACATATTCAACTGCTCGATTTGGTCTATATAATTGGTTTGCCAGAGAGTGGAAGAAGAGCTCGGGGACCAGCAAGCTATCAAATTCAGCTACCATAGCTTGTGCTGGCTTGGCTGGTGGTCTGGCAGGCGTAATTGGGAACCCGGCAGAGGTAATAAGAACACCCAGTTCTAACATGTGCTAATCAAAATGCTGACGTTGTCTTGATAAACAGGTTGTGCTCGTCCGAATGTGTGCAGACGGAGCAAAGCCTGTTGCCGAGAGAGTTCTGTACCCCAACGCCATAGCTGGCCTCTACCGTATCGCAAAGGACGAAGGGATCCGCGTCTTTGGTCGGGGATTGATGCCGACAGTCGTCAGAAGTGTCCTTATGAGTAAGCCCAACTTCGAGAGGAACATAAGACAAGTCGCTGATACTATCCTCGTCAAGATGTCTCACAAATAGCAACGTAAGTAAATCATTGTGCCCCGTCAATCCGTGACGCCAATACTGACTGTGAACCCTTCCATCGCAGATACTCAGTCGCCAAGCGAAACATACTCGCATACACCTCGCTAGAAGACGACGTCCGGACACACATGATTGCTTCTTTGCTCGCCGGGACAGCCGCCACAACAGCGTGCGCCCCGGCTGACGTCCTGAAGAGCAGGATCCAGTCTGCCTCAAGTGCCGGTAGCCAAAACGTCAGTACACCCTCCCAATGCCTAGATATGAACGGGCGACAGCTAATGCCTTTGTTGACAGGGATTGCTTCAGATAATACGAGCAGGTCTGAGAGAAGAGGGCCCTCGGTTTTTAATGAAGGGCTGGACGCCCGCTTGGTTGCGGTTGACGTGAGTTTCTCCCAGTTCACTCGCCAAAACGTGTGTAATGCTTATGCGCGATGCAACAGTCCACATACCATCCTCACCTTCGTATTCATGGAGAAGCTTGAGACATTGGTCAACATGCGAGCCCTCCCGACCAAAGTAGTCGAACTCAAGGCATAGCCGGCACAACGTCCACCGCGCCCCTGAATTACAGCGATACAGTATCTATTCCCTCTAAATACAGATACCCCCATTTCCCGTTGTTGCCTGATGCTACATACATTAAACAAGTCATTGCTATCATCATCTCGGGGTCTTGGATCTTATTCACAAGTACAAAAAGCATTTGAACTCCGTCATCCTCTCAAAAGTGTTTCAGAACCCAAACTCCGGAAGGTTCGACCAGTTCATCCATTCCAGCGACGTCGGATCCTCCCACCCCAGCTGGCCAAAGCCGGTGTCGAACTCGTTGCCGGCCCGATTCAATGCCTCGACGATCTGGTCGTCTGACATCGATGAGAATTGAAGTGACTCAGCCGCCCATGGTCCAGATTCCATGAAGCCGCCCTGGCTGACCATGGGATCTGACACTCCGAACCCGACTTGGCTGATGGAATGGGCCGATGGGTGGAACGGTGAGGTTTCTGCAAGCTCCTGTCTGAGCTCTGCGATGGTAGGACGCTGGTGTATCGATGCGCTGACATGGTCCGGGTCTGAGGCAGACGCTGCCTTTCGCACGAGGAACCGTAAGTACTTGCCATAGAGAGCGGGCATGCCGTTGCGATGTTGAGTAGCGTGACCAATCCGCTCAAGCACATCGGCAGTTTCCTCGATAAGTGTGCGAACGCTTGGAGCAAGGTTGGAGTTCCCCGATACCTGAGCGCTGAGGCGAAGTGCGAAGCAGGCTGCGAATGAGATCATAATGGCGGTATTGTTCGGCATGGATATGAGCTGTGATTCGCCTTGGATGGCGGCTCGCATGACGTTTAGTGAAGACGAGAGACCTGCTGTGCGGAAGAACTGACGGACTTCTGTAGGTGCAGTTGGGTGATTGATGACGCTACTGTAGATAGACAGTCGAGTGTGAGTGACGAGAATTTCTACGTATGGTGGAAGACGATTATCTGGGACAAAATGTCAGCCGACGCCGTAATCAGAGATACCATGTGAAGGCTTACGAGGCCCCGACCCAATTGACATGCCCCATTCTAGATGCCATTGCTCGAAGAACTTCTCAACAGTGCTTTGTATTCTAAATCGTTGTTAGTGATGAATCTTCGACCGTCCTCGCGGGGCACTTACGACTGGGCTATCAGAGACCCGTCTGTTAAGCCTTCTCTTGAGCCGTCACATAATGATCTAATAGTAGCGAACAGCCCATCCTAAAGGATAGTCAGCAAACGGCAAGAAAGCAAAGAACCAGGGTCACATACCAAATCTCGTCTCAGTACTGCCATAGACACAAGATGGCCATCCATGCCATCAGCAACATCGGAAATATGCCATCGGTCACAATTGCTGACGAGAGGCGTGATAGGGACCGTATAGCTGCGACCTCTGGCCAAGCACATCCCTCGCTCAAGAACAAACAGGGCAATCCAACACCTTTCTCTTCGACGGATGAGCCGCTTGCCTAGCTCGGAGAGTGGGTCCACGTCAGGGAAACCTCCGAGTATCAGAGCACCTTTAGGATCGATACAGTCGGCACGAGACAGATTGCCGGAGCTGCCATCCCGGAAGGCTTCTAGCGGCATGTGGATCTTGTGCAATTGTACATCTATGGCGATGGTGGCCGCCATGGAGACATACCAGCATGTGTCGTCATCAGTGCTGTGCTCACCTGGAACCATCCATGGGACATTGATCATGAAGGCGAGGACGACCTCGACTGATCGATGCCTTCTCGCCACGCATCGTAGTGCAAGCTCCTTGCAATGGTTAGATAGTCTTTTTGATAAGGCAGCCGCATTGGGCATGAACAGTGCCGACGCTGCCATGATAGAAGTGAATAAGAAACATGACCTGGCGCGGGTGAAGGGGACCGTGTATAGGACGGGATCCAAGCCCCATCTTGTGTGTGCAAGATTCTGGTGGAAGCTGTGTGGGCATTGTTAGAAGAAAGATCTCGTCTCAAAGAGAAGTAGTCACGTTACGAACAATGTGAATAATGTCTCTGCCTCCTCCTCACTCACAAGGCCGAGATCAACCGGATCGTAGTCCTTCCCAACGTCCAAGTTGGAACTGCTAAATGCGAAGAAGGTTTGAACATCAGCATACTCCTCATCTTGCTCGTCAAACGTGCTTGGCGGATGCAACGACACAGCGACCCTTGGCGACTGATCGTGACTGCTGGACTTTGGCGAGAGATGCAGATTGGATGCTCGAGCTAGCAGCTGCAGGGGATTCTCCGCATCGTCTACCGCGAGGCGCTCTTCCACCGCGGCGTGCAGATTGGACGCCGTCGACTCGCGACGCGGTTGGCTACTCCGCCTATGCACTAGCTGGTGGTGTTGCTCCTCATCGTCGTCTTCGTCAGATGACGAGTCCTGCAGGTCCCCATTGGAGCTGGCGATGCGAGCCCGCTTGGAGCCATTGGCCGCACCGATGCCTTGGAGACGGCCATCCTGGCTCGCCTGCAACAAGGTCTTTAGTTCGAGGATTGCCTTGCCGGCATCAACGTTCTGGGCACCACCACTGGCCTTCTTAAGGGCCTCTTCGACCTGATACAGTGCCTTCTCCAACCCCTTGCGCTTACTAAGAAGGGAAGGCAGTCAGTAAGAGTGAACAGATGCGAATGGGCACCGCGGGGTGTCAACACCGGCTCTTCTTCTGAAGCCCGTGAACATAAATCATATCTTGCGCCGTACTTACTTCTTGACACCCTTCCTCCGGCCTACATTAAAGGTCGGCCGTACGCAGTCTGATCCGGTCTGGAGACATCTCCGGCAGCGGTCGGTGTCGCCGCCCCGTTCGCATTTGACTTTGCTGCGCCGGCAATTCAGACATGCAGCGACCTTGGAGGTGCGGTTGTCGTCCGCGGTGGGGTCATGCAGCACGCCGTTGCCATTGGGCGAGCTGTCCAGCTTTGAATCCGGGGGCTCCATCAGGGAGGAACGACGACAATGGACATGGACAGTGACTGTATTGTTTCAACGACACGTATCATCATCGTGAGAGTGGCTGTTTGAGGAAGGAAGTTTGAGTGAGTACACGAATATGAGGAAAGGCGAGGTATGCGAGAAGGGCCCCAGTCCAACCTAGCTCAAGTGACAGTTCGGATGCGGAGGAAGACGGGAGCTCCGTCTACGTCTGCGTCCTCGTTCGCTCGCTCGCAATTCCAGCGCGTTCAATTGGAGAATGGGGGTGAGGAGTAACGGCCCAGGGCCTGGGCCTCTTGTTCCTACCTACAAATAATCACCACCAATTCAGCAGGCCCCTCGATTGACCGGTCAGCCGACGAATTGCGGAGGTGGACATGGGGAAACCTGGAAGGGGGTAGGTAGTCGTGGAGTGGTGGCAGGCCGCTACTTAGTAGTAGGCAGATCAGATGGGCGCGCGCGCGCGCAGGCTCTGAGGAGTCTGGCCACGTGCCCGGAACCAGAGTTTATGGGGCGTGTGCCTCTCTGAAAGCGGGTAAATTCGTTTTCCCGGGCGGCTTGAGGGCGGAAGGAGAATGTCGCCGCTCGTATGCTGTTCGACTCCTCCGTCAAGCCGGAAAACCACAGCCCCCAAGAGGTTACGCAGCGTGGCGCCTCGCTAGCCAGATGAGCTTCAATTGACTGCCGGCTCTTGTCTGTCTGGCACGTCACCACCCTCTTCCTCGCGTGTGGAGCGAATGACTGGGCGATGCGGTGGTAAGACGCGAATCTCAGAGCCCACACCCAAGCGCCAATTCGACTGAATGGACTCCACGCCCAGGGCTTTGGGCCTCGGTGGAGCGCTAAAACCCCAGGTCTTGGCGTTAGTGAGGGGCTTGCCGCAGCCCTAACGCCAGAGAGGCATGGGTGTGAATCCCCCTGGTCGTCGAGAGGACGGTAGTGAGATGTGACGGAGTGTTGTGATGTCCGTGTGTTGGTGGTGGTGGATTTGTAGATCTGTAAATGTGAAGAGTCGTATATACCCAGAGAAGGATTAGAAGACCGCCTTAGTAATACACCTCATTGCAAAGCAAGTGCGTACTTGTACAGCAGACTCGGAAGCTACGGCTCACTTCGTTGTCGGCATTGATCGCAGCTTCCTTCATTGTGGAAAGCACCGCACAAGGCCACCTAGGGAAGGCGCATTCACATTCACGCCCCCAGACAGCAAGGGAAAGGAGTACTCTGCAGACGGAGCCTTGGAGGGTATCAATGTGATTGCCGTGCGCGCATTGACTTGAAGAAATAAGGTAGCTATTCATAAACGTACATAACTAGGTGCCTTCCACAACAAATCGCCATTCAACATCACTCTTCCGCTCTACAGAAGATGCGACATCGGTGCCCGACCATGCCGTAAATAGAAAGTCCACGTTCTCAACTCCAAACGATCCTTCAATAATGCCTGACCAACAAGATCCTACTTCAACGCCCTCCGCATCCCCCCCTTGGAAAAATACACACACTCAAGGCGCCTGATCCGTTGATGAGATACTCACAACTGGCTTATCAACGGTGCGCTCAGACATGCAGGAAGCGCCCCGATCTTGACCCAGGCGCATCAGCTCAACGAGGCTCTCGGCTGCATATTTGTCCAGTCCCGGACACCTCTTCGCCTCTTTATTCACGCCACCCCCAACCTTCCAATCTTCACGAAAGCTCATTCCAAAAAGATACGCCAATATCAGAAGGCTTACGATGGGAGGAACGAGGAGAGCCAACGACTCCCGACTCTCGCTGCCCAGTCGTGCAATCTGTACACATGCTGTGGCATTGCCCCCTTGATCAGGCCGGCCGTCAGCCGGCACCCCACTGCCTACTTCCAAGTTTTTCAGGCGAGACACGCCTAGGGCGGCAATGATACTCAGCGCGTCCTCAAACCCGTTCTTACTGTTGTTTAATGCATACGGAGGCTCGCGGTTACGGCCGGCGATGCCAATTAGCGTTGAGATGAGACCATCAACTCCCGCATGCTCCGTGATGAGGAAATAGTTGGCAATCGACGCCGCAATGAACATGAGATTGCTGATGGTAGGGTGTGTCGGTTTACAGGACGCGCCATCCGTCAGGCGGTAGGCGAAGTTGGATGTAATGCTCTTCCCGATAGCCTGCAGATCGAGGGTGACAATACGGTACTCAAACGAGTGTCGCGCGTCGATGGTACAGCTAACCACGTATGTCGCGTTCGGTGCGAGGCCGGCAATATTGTTTGGGTCATTTACGGCCCTGGCAAGGAGGTTTGCAAAAGGGATGATGCCCTTCGCGTCTGTGTAGGCGCCGAACCATACTACGGAAACTCCAACTCCGAGACCTTCATCACCTGTTATTGCATCGCCTAACGGGTATACCATTGACATGCCATTGATCATGCCGCTGTCTCGCGGAAAGCCACGAGTTGATAAGATCGACGACTCTCGACAAAGCCATAGTCCGTCATAGCCTCAAGGTGGAGTTCGTGATCTGACATAACTTTTACTTTACCACCAGTCTTACAGTGAACGGGGTTAGAAGTCATGACCGGCACACACTGGGTGGTATTGACAAGGTTGAACCCATGTTCCTTTGTGAGATTGTTCAGGGCTGGGCTTTTGTATAGGAAGGTCGAAGCACCTAGAGCCGAGCGCTCCACTGCAACCCCGGAATCAACATATATGTAGTCGTCTGGATTTTCCGAGTTGATGCTCGGTGCAGCAGCCAGCATCTGATTGGGAGGACAGCTTCCATTGGTGGCGCAATAGTAGGCACTTCCGTTGTACAGTGTCCAGTTGAACCAGTTCTCGGGTATTCGACTCTCATCGGCGATCCCAACGCAAGGGCCGGTGTCGTAACCAGTGAATATTTCCCCAAAACTCGTATCAGGGATAATCGGGTGATACGGTATAGTGATGCTGGTTGTAGTTGGAGTAAAGATGGTGACGACGGTGGTTGTGATCAGGCCGCAGAGCAGGAATGTGAGCAACGGCATCCAATTCTTCCATTTCTCCGACCAGTCATCGATGCCTAGAGCGCCTCTCCACTGTCGATCGAGAACCTGAATCTTGGCATCTGGACGAATATCTTGGAGCTCCTGTGATTCAGTAGTAGGTGCAATATCTACTCGTCGCAAACGACTCTTAAAGCTCCTCAGGAATCCGGCTTGTATGCGATCGCTAACGAGTCTAGTTACCAAAGTCGCGGCGATTGGAGCACCAATGACTAGGTATCTCTGCTTATCCTCTGCCAGCGGGCCCGAGTGTGTGAGACGGGGTCCCTTTGTCTGAATCCATATGAACAAGCCAATAATGATGATAAGCAGGTGAAGAGTGATAATGTCAATGGTAACTTGGAACCGCCAAGGCGACATTTTGCAAGCCTAGTGACGATAGATGTCTGATGTTGTCAAAAATACTCAAGAAACTTTCAGCTAGCGTACAAGATCGACATTAAACGATATGCTGAGGTTACGTCCAAATAAAGACTAACGAAGCCAGCGTTTGCGTCAGATTTATAGGTAAAAGAGAGACATCCAGAGCCGCAAAGCCGAGCTTCGAGACACATCAAGGCTTTTCACGAACGAGAACAGAATTAAGAATCTACGATCATGTGAGACAGAATCACTTAACACATTTTGAAACTATTAGATCGGGCCCAGATATCATGACCTTTGATAAGTCCGAGCTTTGAAAGTCGGTTACATACATTGGGGCGTAATCACAGCTGTTCTAGATATCACGACATCGTACAGTGGACAAGCTCATGTCAAGCTTTAAGTGGCCGATCGGCAATGCCGCTCTTACACTGCATCAAGGCTGTGGGTTGAGACGAATGCTGGTGTTGCGGTGCTGATGATGATTCAGTTGTTTTGTTCGAATGGTGGCCGGTTTGGCACGGACATGAAGGTGATCGGGCTGCAACGGTCAACTTGTGTGACCGCGAGCCTCCTCATGGTCGAGGTACAGTCCCACTCGCCCCATTCCGTCCACTCGTCTCTGGTAAACCCTCGGATTGCGGTCACCTGTCCTCACTGTACAATGTTAGATCTTCCTTGGCGACGATGTGAGGTTCTTTGTTCATTCGCTCACATGACGAGGTATGGAGGTTGCACCAGCTGCGGCCAGCTGAGCCTGGCTGGCAAGCAGGTTGCACCTCCAGTAAGGTATCTGGCACAGTCTCTTCACCTTTGATGCAAAAACCCTGTTTTGTGCAAGGTGCGACTTCCACATCCATCCATACCACGCCATGAAAAACACAATTGATTGCCCCATCAGTCCTGGCAAACGCCGTGATCCAGTTCGGCTGGAGCTTCTTCTGAGTATGCACTTCAGCCATGCTTGCACATGCACATACAATATGCGTACCACACTGTTTCTCCCTGCCACTCAGATCGACCCGGCGTTTCATTGGTCCACGATGCATACCCCAGCGCTTCAGATGTGGCTGAGTGAGTCTGCCTTACTGCGTCCAACGTGACACCAGACGCCGTGCCCCGCTAAGCAAGAGCCTCGTCGCTTTACCAGACCTCACCGAGTCTATTCTCTCATGGAAACTTCGTTTTGACATCACATAGGAGTGCGCGCCACCGTCTAATCTCAAGACAACGATGGAAGTTGCCGGCAGCATAATGGCCATAGGTCAGGCCGCCGCGGCCATTCCGAAACTCATCGACACGATCAGGACATTCGCGAACATCAAGAGCGATCTCTTTGAGCTGCAGAACGAGGTGAGCATTCCATCCAAGTGGATTTTGCTAGTCAAGAGGGTTGGCTGAGATCTCTTGTAGTTGGCGACGATCCAAACACATGTTAAGTCAGTCGAGTGCACCGTTGGTTCTTTCTCCACAGCCGAAATCCAAGCACATCTCGCTGTGCCCGAGCCGCATTCAATCCATTCTGCTCGAACAGAGATCGAATCTGTATGCAGAGATCTTCAGAGCTTGATCGATAAGTGCGCAATAAAGACCGAAAATGATACTCTTATCAAAGTTCGGCGGATCATGTATACGTGGAAGTCAAGAGACATCAAGAAATTGCAAGCCAAACTGGAACGTTGTCGACAGCAGTTACACCTGGGTCTCAGCGAAATGCTCCTGCTGTACGTATCATATGACAATCATGCTTCAAAACATATGACGGCTGATCTTGAACGCACCAGAACGCAGAAACGTGTGCTTCTGCAAATCTCAACAGTGACACAAATAATGCACCTGAATGTCACAAGCCATGAGAAAGATGACCCGTCACAGCCTCAACGAGGCTCAGATAGTCAATCAGCCACAAAGAAAACGATTAATGCCTTGGTAGTTAATCCTAATCACCTAGTGAACGACGATAGGAGGTTTGAAGATCACCTCAGTCTCAAAGAGCAGTCATCCGAGATAATCTCCGTCTACCATACGCGGAACTGGAGCCAGACAGGATTGGACAGTGGCTTCGCTGACCAGAAAGCTGTTCGTATCGAGACATCCATATTGGGCCCTTATCGTTGTCCTTCGAGATGTAGGTGTCGGTGCCATACCAAAAGCACGGACTACCAGAGCCCCGGTTGGCTGAAGCCTTTATTGGGAAGCATCTTCCTTCACTATGACAGCCTACCGGTGTTCTCGACGACAGGGCTGCAATGCGATCTATCTAAATGTCGGAACTCGAGCTCGGCGGTCCGCTTCCAGTATCACTTCCCTGGTTGGTTGCTTCGTCGAGCACTGCTCATATCGGCATCCACGGAGAGCTTTGTTGGCATTGGAGCTTACTTGGCAGTACCGCGAATTATTGATTCAAATGTTGGTATATGGAATTCAATTCGATTTGGCAAAACGACGCAGTTCCAGTATCGATTGATGAAAAGCCTATACCGGCCCGAAGACTATGACATTTCCGGAGAGTCGCTTATAGCGGTAAGAAGACCGTCCTCGGCTGCGTCCCGGCTATGTCGAGAGAATTTGTATTTGCTCATGAATCTGGCGGTATAGTATGCAATCTACTGGGAACAACCACACATTGTTGAATTCCTTGTCAATGCTTGGAACCTAGGGAATAGGAGACACTTCACGGACCGGTGGGCTTGCTCATGTGTATTCTGGGGGGTTCCGATATTAGGACTGACTGGTTGTTAGAAATGCGATGATTTGGGCTCGAGAAGAGCTCCTCGTTAATTCCGAGAGCTACAACAGCGGACACAAGCGAGTGCTGAAGACTTTAGCAGCACTTGAAGACGCATATACGTACCAGGATGAATCAGTGCTGGTGTTGAATGGCCCGCAGGCGATGTCACAGGGGACCATTGTGCTGCAGGAGCTCCTCGATCGGGATCCCTCAGCAGTCCACGATACTGACGACTGTGGTGTCACGGCGCTGCATCTGGCGTGTCTGATGGGCCGGCCAGATGCTGTAGAGCTACTGATAGAGCGGGATGCCCCGCTGGATGCCTGTGACTGCCGCGGGAAGACTCCACTGGTGGATGCGCTTAGATGCTGCAATTACGATTGTGCAGAGCTTCTCCTAGGTGCTGGTTGTAGGCCTGATGTGGCCGACATGAAAGGACAAACTGTTCTCTACTACGCAATGAAACGCGATCTCACGCTGACATTTGAGCTGCTAAAGCAACTAATTACACAATATCCCACATTGGCGGCCGCACAAGATATTGACGGCTGGACATCATTGCACTGGCTCTCTAGTAACGTCTTTGGGCCAGCCGACCTGGCCGAACAGCTGCTAGGCCTACTGTTACAGGCAGGAGCTTCTCTTGAGGCACGGCACCATGGTGGGGTGACCCCACTAAAGGTAGCAGTGTACGAGGACAATGCCATGGTTGTGCAGTTGCTGCTACAGGCCGGTGCCAAGGTAGACCCCCCGCCTGCCCTTTCCGGAAGGAATGTCCTTCACCTTGCAGCGCTGTTCGCCGGCCAAGACACCCTCAACATTCTCGCTGATGCAAATATTCGCGGCCTTGATGTCGATGCGGTGGATGAAGATGGCGATACCCCGCTAAATTGCTGGCGATGGCGCAAGTACGCAGACAGTAATCATCTTTTTGCTGGAACGACTCGTCCTACTGTCGAAGACGACCACGCGTTCGAGGCTCTCTTGCAAGGCGTCAGAGACCGGACCTTCCAAGCCGACATTGAACTGTGTAACTTGGTTCTGCAGGCGGCGAAGGATGAAGACTACATATCGGCGAGGGAGCTGCTAGAGCCGGCCCAGAACAACGAAGCCGGACACCACATCTACAGAGGCTGCAGCGCTCTGAGGACAAACATTCTCTTACAGCTCAAATCAGGCATGTGGGAGACTGCGATTGCCGAACTGGAAGACATGATTGAAACTCGCCGCCAACGTATGATGCACTCCCCATTTCGTGAGGAGTCCAATCACTATTATGCGGATGACTCAAGCAGCTCCAGCGAGGACGATGAGGGTGAGGGGGCTGAAGACGATGACAGCGTGGGAGATTCCAGTTCGGCAGTTCAAGACCAGATAGTCGAGGAGATGGAGTTGGCAAACGGGGCGCCTATGGAAAGTCCGAAAGGGGTTTGATTTTGACGTGTGTGAATGACTACTGTGAGTGGAAGAGGTTAGTATTTCGGGTTTTCAATATCACAGGAGCGGTCATGTACCAATCTTCGGTCCTATCTGCAACCCCTTTTTGCTGCGCGCCGAACGAGCTTTGGTCGCGGTTTAGCCAATATTGCACGTTTCTTCCAAGTACAGTCGATCCACACTCGATCTGAGAGTTTATCAGATAGGATCTACTTGGAGAGCTTGACATTTGAAGCGGCGTAACTCTTGTTTCAGCGAGGTGCCTTGATGAATAACTTCCTATATGTGAGACACCGAGCAATGAGCAAAAAAGGTGGTATTCATGGTGGATTCTTCCTCAGTTAGATAAAAAAGAGAGGCACCCCCTTCGGCTCGGCACTACACCGTAAGACGGTCTGAAGTTCAAGTAAATAGAATCTGCTAGAAGATCTAATGTGACACATCCAAATTTTTATGATCCTGTCCCAGAGTCCAGCAAGTCCACAAAATATATGCCCCAACCGCCGGGATCAACACTGATAGCTCGTTGCCTGTATGACAATCGGCTTTAATTAGATTGACCATGATGGCTCGAAGGTGTTAACCTCAGTAAGACATGCATATTTTAAGAAGTCGTGTATTGGAAGCCGGCTGGGCTGTCTAGGCGTGCTAATAGGTCAGGCACGATCAATTGAAGCGCTGGCCAGCTAAGTAGGATGTTGGATGATTCATGGTCCCTCGGCTGTCTCTGCGAGGAGAGGCCTGCATTTGTCGGGCCAAGTCCTTCTGCTACTAAGAGCGCACGACAGGCAGTCGAGAATTGCTATCTTGAGCAAGTCCCAATATCCCCATAAGAAATCATGTGGAATTTGCTTGGTCATAATGCTGGAATCGGCTGCCCAAGGTACGTGAAGCGACTCAGCCATGGCAGGTGACTTGGGCGAAGCTTTCTAGCGGTGATCCTCAATCATCTATGCTGCCTACCCTAAAATCTCCGCTGGAATAGTTCGAGTTGCGGCACAAGCCCACTGTAATCCGCCAGCTCCATAACCCTATCCCCACTAAATTCATGTACCTCGATCGCCTGTCAGCATCGGATAGTTCTACTGCGACATGCTCCCTTGGATCATCTCCTATTTTAGACTGCTCTTCGGCAACTTTTGTCTCCGATTGTTCTACAGACGATAAGTACTCTCGTTAACTCGTTAAGGATATTTGATATCCCACCAAGTTCATACATATCCGGTAATCACCTTCAACATTCTCCTCAAGATGCCTATCCCCTCGACCATTGTTGCTGCTGCCCTCTCCTTGACAGGCACCGCTCACGCCTGGACTAAAGCTGCGGACGGGACATGCGTTGCAAATTCCAACCAGTATAGCATCGCAGGCAACAAGTGATCTCTCCAAAGCCATGACAAGTCATCTCACACTAACTGCCTGTAGCGGTGGTGGAAGAGGCTTGCACCCGGATGAACATCAATACTATCCTCCGCGGTGTTGACTGTACTTATTGGGTTAACGGCGAAGACTTGGTCCACCATGGACGTACGTACCCATTTCCAACGTTGTAACGTCATGGAATCATACTTATGTATCACTAAGATGCGTGTCCTCTGTGGAAAACACAGGTTATAATGACGGAAACTGTGACGCTATCCAAGGGTCGGATATGTTGCGAAAGTGTAGTATACAACCGATGCGTCTCAAGCTTCATCAACACACTATTCGTCATGTCTCCCTCTAGATACCTCCCTCAGTTCCCACTATGACCCTCAATGAAATTGCATGGCTCTCAATTCAGCCTCGAATCCTGTGTGCCGTGCTACGAAGGCCAGTTTTTGTAAGCCGGCTTAAAAAGACCTATTTCTTGGATAAGATTTTTGCATCTTACCTTCTTGAATTTCCGGTAAATTCCTTTCACCTGACAACCTGAAAACAATGATTCCATCTTGAGATGGTGGTTTTCCAAGGCAGTAGTTACGACTTTACGGTATATTGGGCTATGTGTAACCAGTGGCTTCTGAGAGTAAATTATCGCCGCAAGCTTGTATTCCTTTCAAGGTTTGTCGGCACTGCAAATGGAGACACGGCAACTAAATGTGCAATACTTCCCACTTTGCAAGCCGGTATGGAGTACAAATTGGAAAAGATTATTGTTTGTTGGCAGCACCGCCAAGCTGGATCCTTGTCAATTGCCCAATGGTAAGTCCATGTCATTAAAGTAGTCAGGGTCCATTTAAGTTAAATCTGACGGCTCATCTGAGGAGATCACGAGCTTCTTGGTGGAACAATCGAATGCGATAGGGCGGGCAATCTAATCGGGTTATTAGGCGAAGCATCGATCCTTGCGCGCCCCGGTTAATTCGTGTGTTTGCTAATTCATGTGCTTACTCGAACCGGGAACAGACCATATTGTACTAGACCATGGTGATAGAACAACTACACATGTCAAGACACTATTCATCTCACTCTCTTGGACACTCTGATTTCGAACCCAACATCGCCTTCGCTTTGACACGACTCAGCATCCCATAATGAGCAATCACAGCTCCAGAATCATCCCTCCAAGTGTATCTCTTTCTCTCGTAATCTTCTCATGTGTCCTGGGCTTTATAGGCCTTGTTAACTGCAACGAAGCCATTGATTTGGATCTTGGAGGACGCGATGTTGCCTCGATCGCCTTCGTGGAAGATCCAACATCCACTTCAGATGCATTCGTTTCTCCGCAAGTCACCATACTACCAGGACAGTTGGAGATAAGTGTTGATGGAAGTTGTGGCAACGGTTTCACGTGTCTCGGTTCTAGATATGGCGACTGCTGTTCGAAATATGGCTGGTGTGGGAGCACTGCGGATCATTGTGATGCGGGATGTAATCCTGGCTTTGGGAGATGTGGTGCTCCAGTAGCTTCGACAAGCAACGCTGAACCAGAGCCCACTTCCGCAACTCCAGTCCCGGCGCCGACTCAATCCTCAATTCAAACCTTGACAAGCACTGTACTGTCTATTCTGTATAGTCTAGTGACCACATTCGAAACGGCGACTGAGTGGCAGACATCTACTCGATTGGTAGAGCAAACGCAAGTGAGCACCTCGATTGCGACAGTACTTACTATAGTTCCACAAACATCAGAGATTCCTGTAACAATATTGGTCACAAGCACACTTGTCTTATCAATCACGTCGACAAAGCAAGAAACGGCCACAGTTACTGTGCCCGTCACGTCAACAAAGCAGGAAACGAAAGTGGAACGAGTTACTACGACCAAAACAAGAACGGTGAAGGAGATTGAGAAGGTGACCAGCACGCAGACCTCTGTCAGCGTAATATATTCCACAATCCGGAGTACGGAAGTTCAAAAGTCGACTAGCGTAATCTTCTCAACATCAGTGATCACTGCTACTCAAACAGTAACATTCTCGTCAAATGGTGTTTGCACGTATGTCAGTGGCCCAAGGCCATCTCCGGTTCAGCCAGGTGTTGTCACGAATTGTAAGAATTGTTTATTAAGGGGCTTAGATTTGTACTGACACCGCCTACCCAAAGGTCAGCGCTGGTACAAGGTTGTAGACGGGGATTATTGTCAGAAAATTGTCGACAAATTTGGAACCTTTACGCTGGACCAATTGTAAGTTGACTTTCCAGACTAGTGAGCTTAGGGATGCTGACGAGTTTACAGTTACACTTGGAACCCATCTGTCGGTGTAAGTTTAGATGATGAATTTATTTTTACAGCCAAACTGATAGACATATTCAGCGCGACTGCAAGAGCTTGTGGCTAGACACGTATGTCTGTGTTGGCGTATGAGAGGGGATTTTCATCGAGACCGTTAGAGGCTGGTCTGGGTCTAAGTGACTTGTGTTAGCGCTAGCGAAGGTTCATATTCGTTATGAAAGGTATTTCTAGAGTCATTGCTTTTTTGTCACAAGTCTTATGATCCGAATTCCGACTCGTACCAGTGACTTTCAGCAAGACTTGAATTTATCATCTCAATTCAACTTTTTGAAGTTGAACCAGTTTGACGATGCCTTTGAACATGATATGCTTGATGGATACGATATTCAAGTGGCCAAGATTCATTGCAACGCTAAGCCTAATGGTACCTGTGGGACTGATATGCTTAATGTCGATCCTCTCTCTGCTCCCTGCCTTGATCTCTTGGCGTGTCTGCATGACCGCTTGGCTGTTGCGACTTTGATGATATCTTCTGTTTCCTCACGGGGTAGCTGGTCAGTTTTTCGATAACACTTTCTATAAAAAATTGTCCCATTATTTCAGTACCTTTACGCAGAGAGATCATGCGATTTCCTAACCATGATCTTTTGTTAATGGTTGGCTGAAGCGAGACAGCCGCCCAGTGCCGGAATATCCCTGCAAGGGCAGAAGCGAAGTCAACACTGTGGAGTTTTCGTAAGGCTAGTGCACAAATACGAGAAAATGCCCCTCGGCACTGTAGATTGATGCCGCCCAATAGAGCAACTCAATTGAAGGATCCTGAATAGCAGGGATATGAGACACGCTGTTGCTTCCGTCCGTTAGACACTAGAGAGGTAGAAATACGGTTCAAATTAATAGCATTGTGCAACCCTTTCTCGGACAAGACAAGGCCATCGGCTCGGCATGCCACCCCTGATCGGGCAGGTACCCTGTAATTATGATCTATGTAGCATTCGCATATTTCTCTCGACTTTGAACACGAAGTCGTGATCAGTAGCCGCGACAAGGGATGGAGGTATTTGACGACAACGAATCTCTCAGATGATATAGTCCGTTGACTCTATGCCCATTCATTCGTTTTGCTGACGCATCCTAGCTACGAAGATGCGATACACTGCAGCAGCCATTGTGCTGCTTAGCATTTTAAGCGATGCATTGGCCAATCACTTTCCTTTGCGTCGCTCATTCAAAGATCCTGCGACAGCAGCACCAGCTCATGCCGCGCCTCGACGGTTCATCATTGAGCTAAATTCTCGCTCTCAAGAGTCTACCATCGTTGAAAAAATTGCCAACTTACCTGGATTACGTGTCGTGAAGCAGTTTGACTCTGACATCTTTCCAGGCGTGGCTGTGGAGTGTGAACACAGCTGCTCAGACGCCTCATTGAGGGCAGTTCTTGATGACAGCGATGATGGTCCCGTTGTTGCTTCGGTATACCAGTCCACCGTCATGCAGCTTTTGCCGACTGTCCGGGGCGAGTCCTTCAGTGACGATGCTGCTGCTGCAAACTACTCAGTCCACGGCATGACTGGTGTAGAAAAGTTACATCAAGCTGGCGTCTTTGGCGACGGGGCAACAGTTGCAATCGTTGACAGTGGCGTCCAATACACTCATCCTGCGGTAGGCTCGCTTCCTTGATTCGATCAAAATCTTGAAGGACTTGCTCACTGTTGGCGTTATAGCTTGGCGGTGGCATTGGACCAAACTTTACGGTCGTTGGTGGTTATGATCTTGTTGGCAAAGGTATGCACAATAAGTCGAGCAAGACTTCGCTCTTTACTAATTGTATTCTCACCTTTAGACTGGCCCGATGTTCCGGCTCAGCCAGACAATGACCCAATGGACGAGTATGGACACGGCACTCATGTTGCCGGAATCATTGCAGGGAACAGTGATCAGTAAATCGCGGCTTTATTTGGTATTTCATTAGACAAACGCTAACTGTACCAGATTTATTGGGGTATCCCCTGCGGCCAAGTTACTATCTTTCAAAGTCTTCGGTGATAGCGGTTATTCTAATGAAGAGACTGTCATCCAGGGCTTCCTGATGGCATTTGATTCTGGGGTAAGCTCATATTCCAGTTGATGGAACCGTTTCACCTTTAAAATGTTGCTGACGCTCTAATAACGTAGGCGGATATCATTAGTGCTAGCCTTGGTGAGGGGAGCGGGTTCACTACCAATGCTCTCGCTGTAGTAGCTTCAAGAATGGTTGATCAGGGAGTGGTAGTTGTTATTGCAGCTGGCAACTCTGGTCAAGACGGTCCATTCATGGCTAGCAACGGAGCTTCCGGCAAGAGTGTGATTACAGTTGCAGCTGCTGAGCCTGGCGAGTTTCCTGCTCAGACATTCGCAGCAGACTTCATCTTGGATGGGCTCTCGAACAAGACTGATATTGCCTATATCTCAGGCTCTAGCCCTTTCCCAACAACCATTGTTGACTGGCCCATTTACCCTCTGACCATGAACTCATCTGTTCAAGGCGATGCTTGTGGTGCCCTGCCAGCGGCCACTTCCGACTTGTCGAATGTGATCGTTCTGGTCAGAATGGGAGGATGCAGCATGTCAGTCAAGCAGGGCAATCTCGTACCTTTCAATGCGAGTTACATACTTTTCTACAATGATGATGGTCCATTTCAAAATCCAGTGACCTCTGCCAGGTCTGGAGTCGTTGGAGCAATCGAGGCGCGAGCTGGCGAGGCAATCGTCAACACGTACCTTGCAGGAGGCAATGTCACTGCAACATTCAAGGCAAACGCGGATCATTATGTCGGCCTCTACAACGCTGGTGGTGGTCGACCGGCCCTATACACCTCTTGGGGAGGCACTTATGACCTGGCGCTGAAGCCTGATATTGCTGCACCTGGTACGAAAATCTTGAGTACGTACCCGACCGATGCATACACCGTCTTGAGTGGGTCCAGCATGGCTACTCCATACATATCAGGAATTGCGGCACTCTGGGTAGGCAAATTTGGGGGTCGAGCAGCACACAAAAATGACCCAGAATGGGCTCAGCGATTGACTGCACGTATAATATCTACGGCAAAAGCCGTCCCATGGGCTGACTGGGCAACCTCGGCCACAGATTATGGATTTTGGGCACCCACAACTCAAGTCGGTGCCGGACTCGTGGACGCGGAAAAGGCTTTAACATATGACACTGAAATCAGTTTCGTCGGCAGGAAATTCGAGCTCAATGACACCGCCAACTTTGTCAGAACGCAATCTGTGGAAATTACAAACCAGGCTGGCGAGGCTGTTACATACACATTTTCGTTGCAAGATGCTGGTGGTTATGAGTCCTATATACCGGCGGTGCCAGATCATCCCCAAACCTTCGTTCCGGAAATCAAACTTTACGGCGACGTCAAGCCCGTTAAAATGGTCCCCGAAGTTGCAATGCCGCAAGGGGATTTCATTGTCAGCCCAGGCGAGACCAAAACAGCCAAGTACGTTCCCGTGTCACGACTTTGCATTTTTCTGAAAGCAACGAATTGATCTCTGTGTTAGTTTTACCTTTGCACTCCCGCCTGGGTTGAACGCGAGCACTCTTCCAGTATATACTGGTAAAATTCTTATCAGCGGTACCAACGGAGAAGAGCTAGGCATCCCATACTTTGGTAAGTCAATTGAAGGCCTGTCTTCTCTGTCACTAAACAAAATCTAGGCGTGGGATCTGATATTCGGCATGATATATCGAACATTTGGGATTACGGTGGAAATTTCCCTTATCTCGTTTCCACCGCCCAAGACATCAGACTGGCGCAGAAGGCGAAGTAGGTTGTTATCAGCTTGTGGAAGGTAATGATACTTATGGTGTACTAGTTTCACATTCAACCTCACGAGAGATTCACAGGACTTCCCAAAGCTGAACTCGCAACTTGCATGGGGGACAAAAGAATTCCGTTGGGATGTAAGTTGACTTGCTAAAGAAGCTCGTTGTGGCAATATCGACCATCGATTAACATGTGGTCTCAAATAGATTTTTCGTGCGAATTATACGGAATCTGACTGGTCGTATCCTCCTGTAATTGGTGACCGAGGATATGTAGGCTCTGCTACAAGCTGGAACGGCACATCGCAGTCAAACTGGTTTGTGCCTGGCCAAGACAGTGAAGACGATATATTCTCTTTTCCCCTCTACAACCAGCCACGCAATCTTCGAGGGATATATTATTGGCTTGGGAGATTCGCCAATGGATCTCATATCCAGCCCGGAGACTACATGTAACTACATCCCCCCTCTTTCAACAACAAAATATAAAAACTCTCATCGCTAACTGACTTTCGTCTGAAATAGTTTCCGCATTGCAACTCTTATGCCATTTGGTCAGCCTGAAATTGCTGCTGATTGGGATATCTGGCAAACGCCGAAGATAAGGGTGCTTCCTTTAGTTGGATAGGGCTTGAGGCCATCGACCGTAACAAAGCAGAGTGAGACTATATATCATAGACGATGAATAGCGGTCCGTCGAGCAACCATCTAAAAATATAATGCTGAATTCCTCGCCGAGTATGGGCATATCGAACCGCTATAGTACACCATGCTATCTTAAGACTAGTTTAATGAGGCTGCTAGAAGCTAAGATCAAGGTGCCAACCGAACATTTTTGCAGACAGGCTTACTTCAGGTCACTGCACTCAAACCATCAGGGTGAACTCAGTGAAACTCGCGTCGACTTTGGCGGTATCGCCTACTCTTAAGGGTTATCAATTGTAAGACAGGATGCCAATAATTAGATGGTTCGCTGCGGTGCTTTTTTATGACTAGCCCGAAAAATGAGCATCCCCATCCGATATGCCTTCACAGCCTGTGTCTTATATACACATGATGGACCCGAGCCAGGAATCAAAGGTAACGGATAGGGTCTCATCGTATAAATCACATCTACACATATCGACCCCGCTCGTCGAAGTGATGAGCGTGCTGCAAGAAGTATCCTCATAGAAATAGCATGTGCCGACGGTACCGCTGTGCCAGCTATAGATAGACGTGACATTAAACTTGAACTCCTCACTAGCGAGAGAAAATTTTGGTCAGCATACAGCAGAAACGATATAGGGGATTCCAGGGGAAAAAGACTCACGATGGGCTGTAGTTAATCGCACACGACCAGGGGTCTTGCTCGGTCAGATAGCATCCGCTTGTATTCTCGTAACCCTCGCCACAGTATACCATTAGAGCTCCATCTACACCCTGGGGCTCCACTCCTACACTTGCGCAGAAGACACTTTCCGCGGTATTACTCAATGAATTCGCGCCGCCCGCATAAGTCACGTTTGTGGCACCTGCTAGCGGGTTGGCACACCCGTTGTCGGAATAGAAAGTGCATCTCAGGTTAGAGTCTTCAACCGGTTGCACAGAAACTAGACCCAAGCTCCTATATCGGCCAATCATATTAGTCACATTGAATGAGGATGCGAAGACGAAGGAACGACGCCAAACTTACGTATCCAACGCAGTGCACCCTAGGTAGTTGACCTCGATGTGGTAGCACGTGCCGTCGAGATTATGTTCGGTACAGCCAGTGATGAAAGGGTCGACTGTTACGTTGGCCGTTGTGTAGCTACATGTCTCATCAGATGGCGGTGTAGTGGATGGGGGTGTAGATGATGAGCCCGGCACGACAAAGCTGGAATCGGTGCTCATGGCTGTCGAGTTACCAAAACCTATGCGCTGATTTTGCCAGTCTAGCACAAGAAAGAGGCCTTCGATGATGTCCTGTCCTATCATGTTGACACCTCCATTGAAGTAGTCGCTAGGCCTCATATGTGCCGTGCAGTACTCCACACCGTCGTCACCATTCGAGGGATTCATCGTCTGCCAGTATCCGTAGGAAGGACGTGGTACGACGATAGGCCTATCGTCAATGCTATTTTCGAGTTAGAACAAGCATCCGGCTCTATTTCAAATTGATAAGATAGCGGGCATTCAGCCTGTGAAAAGCAGTTCCCAATCGCAGGCCAATGAGCTTAACTCCAGTACCCAAGTTGTGACTGCTCTCTGAAGCAAGATGTTCGATAGGAATTTGTTTCACTTACAACAAGACCAAATCCGGTAGTGACGTATTAACTGAGCAGACGTAGTCCCAGCAGTAACCGCCCTCGTCAAATATAGAGCCTGGGATGCCGCCATACCATCCCCACATGGCTGCTAGCGGTAGTTCTGACGTTTCCGCACCCGTGTCCAAAATTGCCGTGAACTGAGTCATGTTCGAATATATGAGCTCCCCAGCTGTTCAGTCCGTCAGTCTGCATCTTCAAGCCATCAAACTCGACTTATCAAGACATACTCTTTGGATCGGCAGCTCCGATACCAGACACATTTAGTGACCAGAATGTAGTCTACCACAACGTCAACACAAGCTTGCAGAGGGAACATTCAACTTCGCCAGAATAGCATACATCTCCGGCATTATACAAAGGTGCATACGCAATATCTCCAGTATACTTGGTCTCATCGATAAAGCCAAAGTCGATGGTTCCGTCCAACGTCACAGGGTTCATTGAGATGGTGAAAACAACGTCGGCGAGTTGGTCTTCGATAGCACCTAAAAATGACGATACATAAGAGGGACTCGCGCCAGTTGTTAGATGGGCGGCTAGTCCGAGAATTCCGCTGGCAGTTCTTGAGAGCAGAAAGTTAGAAGGCTCGTGACATCCATCTCCGTCAAGAAATATCGTGGGGCACACCGGGTTTCTTACTCAATAGCACTTCCATATGGCATGCCGGTGACGACCTCCATCGTCATATTATGCCAGGAGTTATCGCCGAGTGTGATGGTATCAGTGTAAATGATACCATTCAGGGCGAATCCTCCGTAGTAGACCTCCCAGGTATAACCGTTTATCAATTGGGAACTGGTCGAGTTGTCCGGACTGTAGATAGGGTACGAGGTAGTCCGCAAATCTTCTTCCACCAACGTCGATTCAACCACAAATCCGTCGGATCCAAGATCCAATGATAACTCGAGGAGTTGAGGTGGTGTGCCAACATCAAAGACGACAAGCCAGTGGTTCACGATTTCGGCCGTAAAGTCGTCACGGCGCCGAAGGCTCCCCTCTGTGGTTTCATTGGTGCTCGGTAGGACCGCAGTAGTCTTCTTTTTCAGTTTTCCTTGGAAGCCCCCTTTCTTTGATTTGGTAGAGACAACACTCGGTAGTGCCTGGGCAGCGGCGGTAGATGAGATGATAACATTGTGCACCGAACTCGACTCAGACACAGCGAGAGTTGTCACTGAGGGAACTGCGTTGATCCTTGTTAGTGGAGTGACGGTGCTTTCTGGCTTGGGAACCGAGATGATGGAGGCTTTCAAGAGAACCGTGGACTGCGATACGACGTCGGTAGCTGTAGAGAAGGCAGCCAGCAAAATGGCTGTATAATAGAAACGAGTGACCATGGTGGGAAATATTGAAGATGACGCAAATGGTAAAGACTGGATGGCCCAATTGACCAGGACCTTGTATATCCCTTGACTATGGGTTGGCAATACACTCTTGCGTCAAAATATCGACGTGAATAGACGTATATATATATACACACATTGTGCTCACACAAGCAACCTGCCCTGGGCAGCCCGCTGAGCCGCCCCCTGAATCCTCGCCCCACTGATTGCGTGTACGGACAGCAATGTTGAGATGGTTATTCAAAGCGCCAACTGGTTTCATTCACTTGCATTTATACCTAGCGCTCACTTAGCTAGCAAATTTTGTAGTACCCATGAAGCGACCAGATGGCAGTCAAGGGTCAAGCAAAGCCGACCCACTTTGTTCCGTACACGCGACGGAAAACTCTATGGAAGTAATCGCTCATCCCCTTGGCGAATATCTCCAATGGTAATCACGCCATGATAGATGCGGGAAATGCAAAGCGATCTGTTTCTCAAAAAGCTGATCACCGAGAAATGCTGTTGCGATAAGAGATATATGTCTGGGCTGAAGCCGATCTATCCACAAACGATGTGCGCAGGTTAATGGGGAGGCGTGGCGCAATTGTAGTTGAGGAGCTGTCAGCCCAGTGGGCCACACAAAAGCAGGACTTTTAGCATCCTCTTGTATGTCCAAAATGAGCCCACCTCACGGCTACTTCAAGGGGCTTTTGCTTCTTGCATGGGTAGAGCGCGTCGCAAGTCACGCTACTCTGCGGCGTAGAATAATCATTCTACAAACTATTGTGAGGATGGCTGACATACATAAGACTATGCTAGCCCCTACTTCGTTACTCTACCAAAAGCTCTTACATGGCTTCTCCTGCCATCAATCGTATTACTTTCCTGCAAATGGCCACACACCAGCAAATTACGTCTAGCAACGCAATCGGTAATCGGTGCAAGTCCATGATACCATCGCATGCCTTCATCTTACACACGGCTCCCGAATCGTGTCAGGCCACAGTCCTTTTATAGTCTTGCAGAACTTGCCTGGAGTTCTAAGAAACAGCATTCGGAGAATTGAAAGATCTACGATGTTTCTAACTCAGATGCTTACTAATGAAGAAGGAATAAGACAGGAGTTGAAACCTAACTAGTAAGCGCAAAATAGGGTGCCATCCGTCTGAGCTTTATGTAGCGTCCGGTCCGAGCTCCCCACCCCAAAACTTGCCAATGAGATATTCTATCTGCTCTGTTCTGTATGTATCAGCTTCAACGTAAGCAATGGACGATACATTAACATCGAAAGCTACATTCTGAGGGTTCTCGATAGAATACTTTGGCCAATATGTGCATGTTGCTGTCTCTTGTTAGATGTCTCACGCCCATGAGGAATCTAGATGTAGACCC